CAAAAATCTGCCCGCAAGCCATCCTGAAGGGCCACAGGCTGTACAGGTCCCTACCCTGAGAACTTCCAGGAAGCCCCAGGGACACAGGCACTGCCAGGAGCTTAGATGCTAACAGGTCTGGCCACAGACTAGGCCCACAAGGCTTGGGAAAAGGGGAAGGACAAAATGGCAGAGAGGAAAAATGTGGAAGGGGAAGAGACGAGGCAGGAAAGAGGAAAGGGCCAAGCAGGCCGAGACCAGCAGGGCAGCAAGGCCCAGCAGTGGCCACCCTGCTTCCTGGCAGCGTCTGCCTGTGACCTCATGGGCAGGGATGTGGGGCTGGAGAAGCAGGGGGAGAGGGGCATGTAAGACATTGGAGTCTTTGTTTATTTGATTAGAGGAGAAAAAAGGCAGCCTCAGGACCAGACAGCCAGGGTCATGTGACCTCCTGGCCGGGTTGGAGGCCTCACTGAGAATGGGGAACACCCAGGCTGCTGAGAAAGGAGGGTGAGAGGATGTGGGAATGTGGTGCTCTGGGCCAGATCCACCAACTGACCTCTGGAGAGCCCCGATCTGTGTGAGCTCCTCGGGCAGGGAGGGTCAGGGGCCCTTGAGCTGGAACCAAGCTGCACTGTTTTATCCGCAGCACCCACCACTTGCTCCACAGCCCCATTTCCCAGTTAATTGTCCTGTTCTCAGAGCCAGCCTAAACTCTTACAGGGTTGGGGGCTGGGAGGGAGGGTGTTGGCTGAAGCAGCTGAGAACACAGCTGCACAAACAGGCTTCTCTGAAGGTGATGTCCCACCCTGAGCTGAGCCCGGCCTACCTAGTCTACTACCAGCTGATTCTCAGAGCTGGGGAAAAGAGGTAGCCCACAGAACAGCACCAGCAGAGGCCAGAGAGGCTAGGTCCCCCTCCACCCCACATCCACATAGCACACTAAGACACACACCCAGACAGACACACAGCCAGGTGGACATTCACCTGCATAAAAAAAGGTACACACACAAGGACCAGACACATAGATGGCAGATAGATGGCAGATCTTCACACAGAACATACTTTGCATCTCATCTTTCTCAAACACACATCCACATATACAGCGCCCACTCAGGAAGGAAGGGGGTCTCCAGGATGGGGCAGGGGCTAACCAGAACAGGGTAGGAGCTCCAGGGCTGGAAATATTAAAATGTGACTCTTTTTGTCACAACCCTAAGCAGCAGATGTCAAGTGAAACCTGGGCCCAGTCCCATAAGCCCTCATGACACTATAAACCAGCCCCTACCCTGGGACACACTTCCACCTTCCTAGTGTCCACAGCCCCACCACTGCTGTCTTGGTTGCCTCTCTGCTCCCACTCCCACTCCCTGCAGAGTAGGACAAAGGGTCAATGAGTAAAGCATCATGGTCTCCTTCAGGAACTGCAGAGGACTGGGCTCCTAGCCCCTAAAGCTGGGGAAGAAACAGACCAGACTCACTCCCCAACCCCCAACCTCTGTGACTCAGCCCTATTCTTCGAGGCTCCACATGACATGCAGAGGACAAGGCAAGGAATAGCCCAGCTGCAGATGGATGCAAGCTGGTGAGGGGTGCTGTGCACGCCAGCCTGGAATCTGAACTTGCTCCTGACATCTGTGAAGCTACACCATGTGTCAACACCCACCAGACTCCCTGCCAGAGAAATGTGGTGCAAACAGCAAACTTCATCTGCACACACAGCAAGTCCCACGGAAAAACTCTCAAGCCAGGGACCTTCCCCATCTACAGCCAAGACAGGAAAGTGCAAGGGGAGAAAGGCTAGGGGGGCTGCAGGCCTCCTAGTCCTGAATTCAGGCTGGATCCGCCCAGAAAGGCCTGGGATGAAGGGAGGCCGCACCCTCCCCCTCTGCCCCACGCTAAGTCAGGGTGTTGAGGCCTGCTTGGGTGGAGGCCTCATCCACAGCTCTCCTGCCTCAGCCCTGGGCCTCCCCCAGGGCCAAGTGCCCCACCTTCCAAAGGCTACTTTCCAACTACAGCCTGAGATGGAGGCCCCAGGCCTGGAAGGGGAAGAGGGAAGCAGAGCTCTCTCAGCAGAGCCCTAAATGTCTCTCTTATCAACTAGGGGGCTTGGAAGACTCCAAGACAAAATGAGTAAAGGTCAGACCTAGGGCTGAGCCTCAGTCACACGCAACAGAAAACAGGCTTTTTCAAGGCGCCAACCCTGCCTTAGACGCGCTTAGGCCTCCCAAGCAGACTCTGGCCTGGAGGGAGATGGGCAGCAGCAGGCATCTCCCTACCTTGTTCCCTGGGGATCGCAGCAGGATAAAGCGGTGTTTCCGCTTGAGGAGGGCACGAAGGTCCTGGCACTTCTCATAGCTGCCCAGCTCCACGGTCTCCACGCACTTCTGTTCATCCTGGGAGGAAGACAGAAGGGACATGAGCTGGTGATGGTCAAACCCACCACCACCCTCAACTACTCATGCCGCAGACCCTGATCCCACTCAGCAAGGACATCACTTGTTCAGAGGGAGGACCTCGAGCTGCCAATCAGTCACCAAGATGTGGGGTCCAGACCATGGGAAGTGTGTGTGGCTGGAGGGACGCCCGCGAGGCTCAGGAGACGGGCACACAGCCCAGAGGTGGGCATGTGCCTAAGGCCAAAGGAGGAGACAGAGGGGAAGCTAGAGAGGGTAAGAAAAGGGCGTCTGGGGTCCTGACAGGCCCAGAGGCCAGGCAGAGATCTGTAGAGATTCGGCCAGAAGAAGAATGCAGGATGCCACAAAATGGCAGGCAGGGAGTGGGATGGGGGGCAGGGGAAATGACTTTCCAGAAGAGCCAGAGGGAAGTGTGAACAAGGCACATTTGGGGCTACATGCCCTGCCTTCAGCACAGCGATTCCTGAGTTGTGTTCCTCACTCAGCATCATCCTCTGCTGATCCCTGGCTTGGGAGAGCAACACCTCATCCAAGGCTGCAAGCTACGTGCAAGCAAGAGGCCAAGGGCTCCTTCGAGTGCATCCCAATCCCCAGCCTACCACTCGGCGGCCTCATCATTAGGAGGGCCTGTGGCCAGGACAGTGCGCAGCCTCTTCCAGGCCATCTCTGGACACTAGCCAGGCTGTCTTCCTGCCCACCACCCCTGACATTTGAGCATTTTCTCCATGGGCTTTATCCATGCTGCCTGGGAAAAGCTCCTCCCTTAATGGTGGTCAACTGGGCCTCTTCCAGGGAAGACCCAATTGGAACAACTTCCTGGGTGTGGCATACTCTCATCCAGGAAAGCTCAGGGAAGCAGAAGCAGATCTTTGGCCAGGAAAGGGTACTCCACCCTGGAACTGGCCAAAAAGTTAAGGAATCCCTTGATTTTTTTTTTTTTTTTTTTTGAGACGGAGTTTTGCTCTTGTTACCCAGACTAGAGTGCAATGGCGCGATCTCAGCTCTCCGCAACCTCCACCTCCTGGGTTCAAGCAATTCTCCTGCCTCAACCTCCCAAGTAGCTGGGACTACAGGCACGCGCGACCATGCCCAGCTAATTTTTTGTATTTTTAGTAGAGATGGGGTTTCACCATGTTGACCAGGATGGTCTCGATCTTTTGACCTCGTGATCCACCCGCCTCGGCCTCCCAAAGTGCTGGGATTACAGGCTTGAGCCACCGTGCCCGGCCCCCATGGTCTCGATCTCTTGACCTCGTGATCCACCCGCCTCGGCCTCCCAAAGTGCTGGGATTACAGGCTTGAGCCACCGTGCCCGGCCCCCATGGTCTCGATCTCTTGACCTCGTGATCCACCCGCCTTGGCCTCCCAAAGTGCTGGGATTACAGGCGTGAGCCACTGCGCCCGGCCCCTTGCTGATGTTTAACAGAAGAAACCTCATGCATGGCAAGCACTTTGGCATTCTTGAGTCTCCTGAACCTCACAATAACCCTGAAAGCCTGGAGCCCTGTATCTGCCTCATTTTAGAGAAGGAAAGAATGAGGCCTGGAGGTGAAGGGATTTGCCCTAAGGGCACAGAGCCAAATATAATGGGCAGGGCCCCAACTCAAACCACAGCCTCTGACTCCCAGGCCAGGGCCCTTTCCAGCACAGCACACTCCTTCCAGTCACAGGCAGTAGGTTGCTCTGGACAAGGGGTTCTCGAAGGTGGGACCTAGACCAGCCGCATCAGCACCACCCGAGAGCTCGTTAGAAATGCAAACTCCTCCCCACTCAATCATAAACCTAGGGGAGTAGGCCTGGCAATCTGAGGTCTAACTAGCCCTGAGGGATATTATTTTTTCTTTTTCTTTTTTTTTTTTATTGTAAGTCTTTTGAGAAATTGCCCTGAGGGATTTTGATGGATGCGAATTTTTTTTTTTTTTTTTTTTTCTGAGACAGACTCTCACTCTGTCGCTCAGACTGAAGTGTAGTGGCATGATCACAGCTCACTGCAACCTCTGCCTCCTAGGTTCAAGCAATTGTCCTGCATTAGCCTCCAAGTAGCCGGGATTACAGGTGCCTACCACCAAGTCCGGCTAATTTTTGTAGAAATGGAGTTTTACCATGTTGGCCAGGCTGGTCTCAAACTCCTGACCTCAAGTGATCCACCCACCTCAGCCTCCCAAAGAGTTGGGATTACAGGCATGAGCCACCGTGCCAGGCCTGGATGCACAGTTAAGAACCACTGCTACCAGCCTGGGCAGTATCTGTCAAGTCTGACAGTACCTGACAGCTATTCTGCCTCAGCCTCCCGAAAAGCTGGGATTATAGGCTCATGCCACCATGCCCAACTAATTTTTGTATTTTTAGTAGAGATGGGGTTTCACTGTGTTGGCCAGAATGGTCTTGATCTCTTGACCTCGTGATCTGCCCACCTCGGCCTTCTAAAGTGCTGGAATTACAGGCATAAGAGCCACTGCACCCGGCCTATAGGACCAGTTTTCTGAATGCCTAGTACAGATTGAGATTCCAGGAAGTCTCCTCCTCCCTGGGAATCTGGAGTAGGGAAACTGCCCAGGGAAGAATCCTTGCTTGAAAGAGAGTAGCTTACCTGCCTTGTGTCCACAGGCCTCCGCTAACTGAACCACCACTGGCCCAAATACACCCTCCTCTGCCTGGGAGCACAAAGTCCATCCACCTCCAACATTGAGCTCGAAACAGCTGCCTGTCCTGGGTCTCCTCTCCACCCCACCCAAGACGCTGAATCATCCCAGTTCTTCTGCAGCCCAGAAAAACGGATAAACCAGCAGGCAATGGGTGAGGGAAGCATCTTTGGAATGTCAGCCTCTCTGATGGCAAAGAAACAGCCAAGAGCCATTCGCATTCGCCTAGTTCCCTACGTCAGAAAGAGGAATTGAACTAATAAGCATTTCTCAATTCCTACTCCCAGGCCAAGCTCCCCCACCCCCAAGTGCTAAGTTCTTGAAACTGCATTTACATTTTTAATAGCATCTTTTTTTAAAAAGGAAAAAAAGCGTGATTTGGATTTTTCATGTTTGGGAGATGTAAAATCCTTCCTGCTTCCCAGCTGTGGCCAGATGTGGAGAGGCAGTTTAGGACAAGTCTGACAGTACCTGACAGGCTGAGAGTGAAAGCCTGTCACTTAACTCATGGCAGCTGGCACCGGAAGAAGCTGTGACAACCTCCTTTATTGGTAAAAATATCCCCCTGCCACCTCATTCCCAACTGTGGCACATCCTATTTTGGTGGGGGCAGCAGTAGAGAACATCTGCGGACGCTGTCTACACACTCTCATTCCCTTGCCCTCCTCCACTGCTTCTCTGACACCCTAACTCCACGAGCCAGTGACTCAGGCAGGTCAGGCTAGGTGCTTCTCCAAGGCAGCTCCTTTAAACACTTAGATCCAGGTTGCCCAATCTTGACCTGGGACAATTGTGAATTTGCCAAGATATCCTGAGGCAGACTGGGAGAGGCTGATGAGGAAGAGGCAGGCTCCCCCTTCTTATGCCCCCAGGTCAATTCCTCCCCAGGTATTCATCTGTCAAAGGCATTTTCAGTGGATGGACTGTTTTCAGTGGATGGATGGGCCCTCTGACAGCCTCAACCACAGCACACAAATGGCATCGACAAGGAAAAAACCCTCTTCTTCCTCAAGTCTTCACCTATATCTTTACTTTTATTTAACACACAAGCTTAGCATCCTTGGTTGTCCAAATCCCATGCCTGCTGAAATCAGAAGAGGAACAAGCATCTGAAGTGGGAAGATGTGAGGACTATTAGAGGCACAAGGACAGCAGAAGTGGAAACCAGGCCTGGTTCAGTGGCTCACGCCTTAATCCCAGCCCTTTGGGAAGCCAACACAGGTGGATCATAAGGTCAGGAGATAGAGACCATCATGGCTAACACAGTGAAACCCCATCTCTACTAAAAATACAAAAAAATTAGCCAAGCATGGTGGCACATGCCTATAGTCCCAGCTGCTAGGGAGACTTGGGCAGAAGAATCGCTTGAACCCAGGAGAAAGAGGTTTCAGTGAGCTGAGATCATGCTACTGCACTCCAGCCTGGGCAACACAGCGAGACTCCGTCTAGAAAAAAAAAAAAAGGCCGGGCGCAGTGGCTCACGCCTATAATCCCAGCACTTTGGGAGGCCAAGGCAGGTGGATCACGAGGTCAAGAGATCAAGACCATCCTGGTCAACGAGGTGAAACCCCATCTCTACTAAAAATACAAAAATTAGCTGGGCATGGTGGTGCACGCCTTTAGTCCCAGCTAATCGGGAAGCTGAGGCAGGAGAATTGCCTGAACCCAGGAGGTTGCAGTGAGCCGAGATCGTGCCATTGCACTCCAGTCTGGGTAACAACAGTGAAACTCCGTCTCAAAAAAAAAAAAAAGGCCCAGCGCGGTGGCTCACGCCTGTAATCCTAGCACTTTGGGAGGCTGAGGTAGGTGGATCACCTGAGGTCAGGAGTTCAAGACCAGCCTGGCCATCATGGTGAAACCCCAACTTAAAAAAAAAAAAAAAAAAGAAGTGGTAACCAACAGCTCGATGTTAAAGGAGAAGGAAAGGCTGAGAAGTACAGCCTGCCAGCTCAAAACAGAGAGGCAATCTTCCTCTGCCCCTGTGCTTCTGGAGAACCCACTCTGCAGATGGGTCTGACAGGTGACACTGAGCCACCAGGGAAAGATGTTACTTAGGCCAGCATCTTCTGTCGAAGAAAGCAGAGAATATTTAACGTATTTTAGAGATTTTCTAGCAAAAATAAGTTTTGGAGTTACTCGCTGGTGTCTCTTGGTGGAAAGCACACTGAACTGGATTCTAGACCTAACTCCCCCAGTCACTGAGAGATGCTGAACAGTCATCTTGTCACCCTGAGCCTCAGTATCCTCTGCTGTAAAATGTAACATGATGACCACTCTCATGGGACTCTTGTGATTGTCACAGGAAGATATGTAAGAGCACATCACCAAACAAGTACGAGTGCTAATTAGTATTTCTTTCTTCTTTTTATTTTTTTTTGAGACAGAGTTTCACTCTTGTTGCCCAGGATAGAGTGGAATGGTGCGATCTTGGCTCACTGCAATCTCTGCCTCCCAGGTTCAAGTGATTCTCCTGCCTCAGCCTCCCAAGTAGCTAGGATTACAGGTGCCCGCCACCAAGCCTGAATAATTTTGTATTTTTAGTAGAGACAGCATTTCTCCATGCTGGTCAGGCTGGTCTCGAATTCTTAGCCTCAAGTGATCTGCCCGCCTCGGTCTCCCAAAGTGCTGAGATTTCAGGCATGAGCCACCGAGCATGGCCTACTAATGATTATTTCTACTACCACTGCTGAATGGAGCAGGCTTCAGTTTTCTACATTCACTCATATGGAACCTTGCCCAGGGACAGGAAAAGACTTGCACACTAGGTGCACATACAGTTCAAAGAGCTCTTGGCTGGGCGTGGTGGCTCACGCCTATAATCCCAGCACTTTGGGAGGCCAAGGTGGGTCGATCACCTGAGGTCAGGAGTTCGAGACTAGCCTGACCAACCTGGTGAGACCCTGTCTTTACTAAAATTACAAAATTAGCTGGGTGTGGTGGCTGATGCACATGAGGCAGGAGAATCTCTTGAACCTGGGAGGCGGGGATTGCAGTGAGCTGAGATTGTGCTATTGCACTCTAGCCTGAGAAACAAGAGCAAAACTCCATTTCTTTTTTTTTTTTTTTTTTTTGAGACGGAGTTTCGCCCAGCCTCCTGAGTAGCTGGGATTACAGGCACACAACACCATGCCCAGCTAATTTTTTGTATTTTTAGTAGAGACAGGTTTTCACCATGTTGACCAGGATGGTCTTGATCTCTTGACCTCATGATCCACCCGCCTCGGCTTCCCAAAGTGCTGGGATTACAGGCGTGAGCCACCGTGCCCGGCCCAAAACTCCACTTCCAAAAAAAAAGTCCAGGCACAGTGCTTCACACCTGTAATCCCAGGACTTCGTGAGAACGAGAGGGATGGATCATGAGGTCAGGAGATTGAGACCATCCTGGCCAACATGGTATCTACTAAAATAAAAATGAGCCAGGCATGGTGGCATGCACCTGTACTCAGAAGGCTGAGTGAGGCAGGGGAATCGCTTGAACCCAGGAGGTGGAGGTTGAAGCGAGATTCTGCCACTGAAATCCAGCATGGTGAAAGAGCAAGACTAGGTCTCAAAAAAAAAAAAAGAATTATCATCCAGAAACCCTAGATTTGCCCCTGGAGGTATTGTCACCATATAGAGACCCAGAGAGGATTAGGTAATCGCTCAAGGTTGCACAGCATGGCAAAAGTGAAGCAGGTCTTCTGGCCCCAGATCCAGGGTCCTCCTACTAGCTTGAGATGCCTTTACTTTGCCCTGTCCCAGAACCCCCAACCTCAGGGCCAAGCAGGTCCTCACCTCATTCTCATAGACCAGCAGCTGGGCCTGGCAAAGGAGCAGATATCGGTCTTTCCAGAAACCCAGGAGGCCTCCACTGCTCTTCTTGATCCAGCCAGCCTTGTCCACCATCTGTGCTCCCCGAGGCTTCTCGCTCACTTCCTTCACACCCTGTAACACAGCACCAGACATGCTATGAGGACTGCTACCATGAGGCCATACACATCACAGGTCACAGGTTCACAGGTCACACAAGGAATATGTCCCTATGCTAAGTACCTAATGACATCATCCTATGTGAGCTTCCCCACAACCCCCAAGGCAGATATTCCTGACGCAGGATCAGAGCTAATAACAGCAGTAATAGCAGCAGCCGCTTTACTCTGAGCGGCTGTATAACATTTGATACACATAGTCTCATTAACTCTTACAACTCTCCTTCAAGATGGTAGCAAACTAAAGCTCAGAATGGAGAGATGACTCGACAGAGTCACACGGCTAGAGGACAGAGCCAGAATTCAAAGCAGATCTCTTTGAGCCCACATTTTTCCCACTGCACCATTCTGCCTCCATGTGTTCATTAAAACAGTCAACAAATGTACTGAGGGCTTACAACATCATGGGAGAATAAAGGTAAGGCAGCTTGTCCTCACAGAGCTCAGGGAAATATGACTTGAACAAATAAATACCAGGCATAAACCCATTAACCCGTCTGAAATCCTATGTAGGAAACACAAAGGGGGCAGCAAGAGGACGGGGGGGACCCGGTTCAGGTTGGGGTGGCCCAGGAAGGCCACCCAGAACAAAGATTGGAAGAATAGGCAGGCTGAGTGGCAATCTGCCTTTCCACCCCTAGGCTTCCAGAGAACCCACTTGCAGCCCCTCCCACTTCTCACCCAAAGCAGGAGGCTCCTCTCCCCTCCTCCCTGCCCCAGGCAAGGACCTTAGGGTAGCCACCACGTCTGGTGAGGGTTCCAAGGATTCTGTCTTTAACAAAAGCCTAGCACAAGAGTTAAATTTAAACCCTTCTCCTGGACTTGGGTAGGCACCCTGGAGCCTTGGGGCCAGCCACTGACATCTTGTGCCCCACTGATTGCCTGCTTGGGTGGCTGGGTACCAGGTACATGCCTACCAGATGAGGTTGGGGTCAGATCCACCCGTGGATCCCCAGCACCCAGCCCTGTTCTTTTACATGTAACGGGTGCTCAAGAGGTACCTGTGAAATGAAAATAAAAATACATCCTCTTTGCTGACCACTTTGCTTCACTTGGTACCCAGAGTAATTAGTGTGAAGCGGGAGGGGGGGGTGGTGTGCAAGGAGGAGAGGGGATCAAGAATGTGTCAGAATCTAGAGGCTGCTAGAAGGAAATTAGCACAGACTAATTTTGACTACGTTATAATTTACATAAAATTCAAAAAAGGCGCCCCAGTTAAAAGAGGTGTGCCTCTCCCCAGGGATATCCTGTGGCCACAGCTGCCTTTGGATGAACAAGCCCAGACAGATGTAAGCCTGGTGCACTGTCAGGAGCTGGGCAGACGTGGCTTCCCTGGTCTCTGTCATGGCAGTAGAGCCCCAGCCTGGTTCTCACTGTGGGCCCCTGTCCCCTTTTGAACTGCACATTCTGGTGCTGGGGAAACTGGGCTTAGAAGCTGCTGTCATGCAGACTGAGGCAAACCACTTAACCTCTCTGAGCCTCAGTTTCTTCATCTGTGAAATGGAGCTATTAACAGCAGAAGTTATAAGGACTCCAACTCCTTGAGGGCGGGATTTTTGTTTTGTTCACTCCTGTACCCTCAGTACCTAGACAGTGACTGGTACGTAATAAGAGCTCAATAAACGTTTGTTGCTGCATAAAGACAAGGCATAAAGGGCAGTTCCCAGGATATCCTAAACCCAGTAAATGGTATCTGTCATCATTGTTACTATGTCACTGCTAGCCTGTCTGGTTCTCAGGGACCCTCTCCCTGGGCCCAGTTCCCAAGTCAGGACAAGGCCTTTCTGGTCTATAGCTGCTGGCCTCAGACCTCCAGAAGCTCTAGGAATGTGGGGTCCTCCCTCGGGGTCTCTCCCTAACTTGTAGATGGCAGGAGAAATGGGGAAGTAGGGTGGTCCCAAACGGTCTTCCCAAGGCCGGGCATGGTGGCTCACGCCAGCACTTTGAAAAGCTGAGGCGGGCAGATCATTTGAGGTCAGGAGTTCAAGACCAGCCTGGCCAACATGGTGAAACCCGGTGTCTACTAAAAATACAAAAAATAGCCAGGTGGTGGTGGCGCGTGCCTGTAATCCCAGCTACTCGGGAGGCTGACGCAGGAGGAATTCCTTGAGCCTGGGAGGCAGAGGTTGTGCTAAGCCCAGATCGCACCACTGCACTCCAGTCTAGGCAACAGAATGAGATCCTATCGTAAAAAAAAAAAAGTCTTCCCAGATATAGGAACAAGGAAGTAGGAGGCTGGCTGGTTAGGAGCCACCCTGTCCAGGAGAAGAGGGACTCTTCAGCACCCTGACAAGAAGGGAAAGGCTTTCCCATTCCATCACCCACTCGACTCCCATTCTCATTCTCATCACACCACTGACATCCTCAGGGGCCTAACCCCTTCAGCGACCCCTGCAGGCTGTCACAGGCCCAGGGCTAGAAGGGAAGATAGCGCAATGGGAAACCCCACCCCCGTATTTCACACTGACCACCCTCCTACCCCAACAACAACATCAAGGACAGAACCACTAGCCCCTCCAAGGCCTTCCACCTGATGGGCAGACTCTTGGTTTCTCTTAAACAAGGCAGTGAGGTCTGTGGAGTGTGAGCTGCTGTCTACCACCCACCTCTGAGCTCCAGGCTTGCCTCTTGCTTTCAGGGGGCCCAACCACCACCCCATGGGATCTCACCCCTTTCTTTTCTTTTTGTTTGAGACAGAGTCTCACTCTGTTGCCCAGGCTGGAGTCAATGGTGCAATCTCAGCTTACTGCATACTCCGCCTCCCGGGTTCAAGCAATTCTCGGCTTCAACCTCCCGAGTAGCTGGGACTACAGGCACCCGCCATGACACTGGCCAATTTTTGTATTTTTAGTAGAGATGGGGTTTCACCATATTGGCTAGGCTGGTCTCGAACTCCTGACTTTATAATCCGCCTGCCTCGGCCTCCCAAAGTGCTGGGATTATAGGCATGAGCCTCTGCACCTGGGCCCTCACACCCCATTTAAATTCTTTCCACTAGTGACCTCTCCTGAAAACTTTCTACCCTCTGGAAGCTCTCTAGGGCAAGGGCTGGAACCTGTGCCTAGATCACTGTCATTTCTGGGCTGGTGTAGCCCAGAGAATAAATACCATGACTGAATGAACTACAGAAGCAAGCCCAGGTCCTTGAAGGATGGGTGGGACCAGGGCAGGACTAGGAGGGACAGAACTTTGGGATAGAGGAAGAGACAACCGAGGTGCTGCAGATGGTGTGAACCACAGCCCAGCCACAGAAACAGCCACCCAGGGGAGGCCTGGCTAGAGGCCAGAGTCCTACTTGCCTCCACCCAGCCCCTTCTCTGCCCCTCAGACCCCCTCCCTCCAGGGGGCCTGGCTATGCCCCAGTAAGTTTTAATAAGGGGCCCCTCCTCTTGGCAGGGCTCACAGGGGAGGTTTTGTCCTGCTCAGCCCAGTTTCTCTGCCTCCTCTCCTCACTAAGCAGCTGACCACTGTTCTTCCTGTTTTGCCCTCTCCCCTCCCATCCCTTCTCGCCCAGGCCCTTTCCTGCCCACTGTGAGCAGCTCCCGAGGCACTCCTGGGCACCAGCCTGCCTCCCCTGGATCACTCATTAAAAAAAAAACAAAAAAACCAGCCAGGTTATCTCGACCCTGTACACAGAAGAGGACAGATGGAACCACAATACAGGTTACGAGAGAGAGACCAGAAGAAACGCTGTTGGCACCTCACATCCCAGGAAGAATATGATGACTTTTGCTCTTTGACTAAACCCAGTGACGTTCTGGCCCAACTCTACTAAGAACCCACCGTGTCAGAGTCCTGTGCTGAGGCATTCGGAGAGAGGAAGCACAGGCTCTGCTCCAGGGCAACTTCCAGTCTGAGAGGGGTAACAGAGACCCTGCATAAAAAAAGTCCCCTGTCTGGCGTGGAGGGGGGAATCTCCTGCTTGAGAGGCTCCAGCCCATTGGCAGAGACATAGCACTTACTCAGAGGGCTGCCCCGGTCCTGGCTCTCTGATGAGGAAAGTGCTTGGGGTTAGTCTGGGAGACCCCTGCAGAAGGTAGGGTTTGGGTAGGGCTCTGAGGAGGGGAAGAGACATGTTCCTTGGTCCAGAGAAGGCAAGACACAAAGGTTCTCAAAGACCCTGCACCCTCAACTCTTTACTAGAGAAAGAGAAAGTACAGCCCAGAAAGGACAAGAGATTACTCCGTGGGACAAAACGTACTGGGACAGGACACTGCCCTACTTGTCTCTAGATGGGTGAGGACAAGTGGACAGCCTAGAAGTCAGGGAAAGGCATGACTGCTGGCAGAGGACAGAGCCCCAGAGCAGAGACGGGAAAGCCTAGGTCCAGGATTTCCACCCTTACTCCAGCGGCAGCCATAATACCTGCACTGATATTCCCAGTTTTCCCAGCTCTTGCATATACATCATTGCAGTGCTCGATTACCCATCCTCCTCCTTTTACAAATGAGGAACCGAGGCACACAGGAGCACACAGGTGGGCAGACGCCCAGTGCCCAGACCGGCAGCTCTTCCCCAAGCCTCAGTCTGACAGGAGCTACCAGCCCATTGCACAGAGGAGGTCACTGAGGCTGAGGAACCTTGGCCCAGGGTGGCTGCGCACAAGGAAGAAGCTGAAAGCTAACAGGAGGGCTCATTTTGACTTGTCAAAATGAGCTGATGAAGATGGCCTGGGATCACGGGGCAGAGTGTGTGGCTGTGACCTAAGAGGTGTTTTAGAGAAACAAAGATGGGCACTGAGGCCTAGTGCAACAAAGGGAAGCTACTGTGAGAAGCGGGAGGAACACAGAATTAGGGACGTCAAAGGGGAGTAGGGATAGGGAGCCCCTACCCTGGGGGTAAGGCTTGCAGGGGCTAGGGGGTAAAGGGGGCAAGACCTTAGATGGCCCAGGTATTCAGAGAGCTTGGGGCATCTGGGAGTCAGAAAGTGGCAATGGGAGAGATTCAGGACCAAGGGGAGTACAGAGCTGAGCGGGGCCCAGGAGATGTCCGGAGAACTTCCCTTAATCAGGGGCCAGAGCAGATCAGGAGATGGAGTAATCCTGACCCACATCCTCCGGGAGCAGGGGAGGGGCCCTGGTCAGAGAGCCCAGACTTTGCAGCAGGGGCCTGGGGCAGGCAGATGGCAGCCCCACCCCACAGCGAGAAAGGGCAGCAAATCACAGAGGCCTGACTTTGCCCTCTACCTTCACCCACTGAGAGAAGGGGCCACAATCGTACTCTCAGGCCAGGAGGAGGAGGGCAAGCCCTATATTTTGTAGAAGAGGAAATGAAGGCTGAGAGGGGAAGTGACTTATCTACCATCCCACAGAAAGGCAGGGCCTGGCCTAGAGGGAGCCCGGACCGCCTAGCTGCTCCTATCCATGGACCGGGGAAGTGGGAGATGGGCGCTGAGGGGACACAGCAGCCCGGTCCACTCAGGGCTTCCCAGCTAGCCAGGGTTCCTCCCAGGCAGAGAGAGTCATCTTTCCTCCCCATCCACGGAGGCAAAGACACTCTTCTTTCCTTGGGCTGGGAGGGGCTGAAGCTGGGACCGCCTCAGGGGATAAGAAACAAATTGACCTTCCTCTAGACCCTACAGGCCCCTCCTTCTAACGTAATCATTCCACAGACATAATTATTAAGTGCTTGCAGCTCGCTGGACCCTTAGATAATGGGGGTCTGGGAAAACTGGGTTTGCAAGTAAACGGCAGGGACAAGACCCGATCCCAGACCAAGAGTGTTCTGAGTGGGTAGAAAGAGGATCCAGGGACACAGCTGATCCAGTCCTCCGCTGGGGAAGGCAGGGACCAAGATCAGAACCTAGGTGGGCCTGACTCCCGATTCCTTCCTTACGGCGGCTCAGATGGATGTGGGGCGGGGAGAGATGGGGGGGAAAGGAGATAAAAGACTTATACGAAGGAGAAGAAAGCAACTTCTTCAGTCCTCCTGCCACCAAGGCATGCTCACATCCTTGAGACGGGAGCCCCCCAACACACACACACACACACACACACGCACACGCACACGCAGTCAGGATCCGACCTGGCCAGTACGAGGAGTCAACGGTAACCACGGTTCGAACCCAGTCACCCAGGCCACTTTCAGCAAGTCATCAAACTCGCTGAGTCTCAGTCTCCTGGTCGATCCAATGGAACAGTAACAACCACGACGCCCCACAACTGATGGAAAGTCAGACAGAATGAAGGAGGACGCGGTCTGAGAAGTGCCCTATGCGGATCCGGCCCCCGGCCCCTGCCCCGTCTGCCCAGGCTCTTCCCGGGGTGAGACTGGAGGGAGTGGGGCGGACAGGAACGAGGGCCTGAGCCCAGGACCGCAACCCCCGTGAGGGGCTCGAGGACTCTAGCCCGACGCCCCGCCGGGCCCCGCCGGGCCCCGCCCTCACCTCCTCCTCCATGGCGAGTCCGCCGAGGTCCCGCCGCTCCGCCGCTCGCTCCCGGCGCCGCGCGGGCTCGGCCACCGCGTCCACGCCCGGCCGGGCGGCGACACTCGGCGTTCTGTCCCGCCGGCCGCCGGGGGCCCAAGAAACTTCGGGGGGGCGGGGCCGGGGGCGGGGAGAGGCTTCCGGGAGCCGGGGCGGGGCCGGGGAGGGGGCGGCGGGCGGGGGCCCGGACCCGGGCGGGAAATGGGTGGGGCGGGGGCGGTGCGGGGCGAGGCGGGGCGTGGGCTAGGGACTGGACGGAGGAGGCGGGCGGAGCTGCCGCTGGAGAAAGAGGGCGGGACGGGGCGGAGAAGGTTTCCTGCACCCGCGGAGGGAGAGGGACTAGGAGGGGGCTGCGCGGGGGAGGGGAGGGGGCTTCCGGCCCAGGGACTGAGGCGAGGGTGGCGGGAGCGGCGCGCGGGCAGGGCTGGGGTGGGGCGCGCGGAGTGGAGAGCGCTGGGGGCGCTGGCGGCGGAGCCTTTGAGGTCTCCTGACCCAGTGGGCTGGGGCTGAGAGACCGAGCCGAGCTGCCGTGGGCGGCCGGGACATGTGGGCACACGGGGGCTCCTCCTTTTTCCTCCCCGACGCCGGGCAGTGGGCGACGACGGCCTGGTCTTCTCCCTGGAACCTCAGGGCGGGGCCGGGCCTGGAGCTTGGGTCTCTGTCCGGAGGGGGGTGTCACGGAAAGAACTGGAGCTGAGAGTCGCGACTCCGCGGTCCCTTTAGGAGGCGGCCTGCCCCCGGCTTTCAGGGGTCTCCAAGCGCAGTGTTCTCCTGCCCTCCTTGGGCGTCGCTCAATTCCTCCCGTACCTGAGGGTCGACCACCCCGCGGTGATCTTGCAGTCCTGACAGCCTTACTGAAGAGTGGAGTGTGGGGACCAGCAGAGAGTAATGATTTTGGTTATACAGTGCGCCCTCGTTTTACATTGGAGAAACTGAGGCCCGGAGAAAGTATCCGGCTGCATTTGCAGGCTGCGGCACCGCTTCCCCCCCCCCCCCCCCACACACACACACTTACTCCCCCTTAGCTCTCCTGGTTAACCCTGTCGCATGCCAAAGAAGGGAAAAGTAAGTGCATGTGAGATCAATGGTGACCTTCTTCGGCTCCGGCTGCCATAGCAGCGGCTGTGCCAGTGACCAAGCTCCCTTTCAGTGCCTTCTGCCAGCCCTCAGACTCCTAGGCCACTTCCAGCCCTGTATGGAAAAGAGCAGCCTGGGACTCCCAGGCCGAGGGGGAAGGAGATGAAGGTACATTTTTCCCACAGGCCTGGGCCTGGGTTCCTTTATCTAAAGGGATGAAGAAAATTGAGGCTATTATCACACTGGTCAAGAGAAAGAAAGAAGGAAGGAGACAGAAAGAAAGGAAGGAGGAAAGGAAGAAAGGGAAGAGAGAGGAAGGAGGGAGGAAAGGAAGGAAAGAAGGAAGGAGGGAGGAAAGGAAGGACAGAAAGAAGGAGGGAGGGAGGGAAGGAAGGAAGGAGAGAGAAAGGAAGGAGGGAAGGAAGAAAGGAGAGCGAAGAGAGAAAGAGGAAGGAGGGAGGAAAGGAATAAGGAAAATTGAGGCCGAGGATCTGAGAAAGTCTGCGTGTGTAGTCTTTCAGCCACCACATGGTTTTATTCCCTCAATCCACAGAGCTGTGCAGCATTGTACGCCAGTGCCCGAGGACTCAGAAGACCTTGTATCTGGAAATTCATGCTCTACAGGAGACCCTGGGGAATTCATGTTATGCAGAAGCAGCCCTTCGTAGGGAGAGAGCAGTGAGGTCAGGTCAGTTTTGACATCCAAGCAGTTCTGTCATTTTTGGGAATGAGCCATTGAGAACGACTCTGACCTCAATTTCCCCACCCAGCTCCTGCTGGCCCTCTGGTTTTGCCTCTATAACATGCACATTCATTCAACACAAATATTTTATTTTCTTTGATTTTCTGTCAGGCCCCATGATAGTGGCTGGGAGGTAATGGCAGGACTCAGTATCCCTGTCCTCTATTGGGGAAAAAGGCATGTAAGCAGATGAGACTGCCAAGTGTTAGATGAGAGGGTAAATGCACAGCGGAGGGGCACCAGAACCCGGACAAAGGCGTAGGATAGGATTTCTAAGGAGAGGGTACAGTGTGTTGGCAATGGCATGGAGGCATGAACAGCACAGCATGTGTGCATAGGGTGGCCAGTCTGGAAAAGCAGACAGCTCTGTGCAGAGAGGGCCTTGTAGGTTGTATGGAGGAGACATTTTAACCTCAGGGCAATGGGAAGTCATTGAAGGTTTTGGGGTGTGGGAGTGATGGAGTCTGTTTTGCATGTGTACAATTTAATCATTCCACAAAGTATATTGAGTACCCCTTCAGTGGGGGCGCTTTCTAAGGCATCATCCTACAATTATCTATTCACTCAAAGAATGTGAGGCCTCCCTGTTATCTACCCTCCCTGTATCTCCTTTAATCCTCACAGAAGTATCCATAAAATAGATACAGTTGTTATCCTCATTGAACAGATCAGGAACCTGAGGCCTGAAGAAGTTAGATGACCTGGTTATGGCCAACTGACTGAATTCAAAGCCTGCCTGATTCCACGGTCCCGGATTCCACGGTCCATGCTCCCTACTAAAAGACTCCTTTGGGCAGCATTGTGTGACCACGCCATGCAAGATCCAGGTTCTGCCTTGGAGAGCTGATGATCCAAACCAGCAGGAGGCTAGACAAGTCCTGATAAGGCCACTTAAAAAAATAATAATACGGGTCTTGTTCCGTCACTCAGGCTGGAGTGTAGTGGCACAATCACAGCTCAGTGCAGTCTTGACCTGCCAAGCTCAAGTGATCCTCCCACCTTGGCCTCCCAGAGTGCTGGGATTACAGGCCTCAGACATGGTACTCAGCCCTTATAAGGACTTTGATGAAAGAGTACAGGGTGTGTGGTAAGAGTGGCTCCCAGAGGAGGGGCTGAGTTGTATTCCAGCAGGATTAGTTGGATGGGGGCAGAGGGAAAGTTCAGGATAAGGGAACATTTCACCGAAGTGAGAACTTGTAGAATATCCTGACTTGTTAGGGGACTTGTAGGCAGTTTTTATGTGGTCATATATGTGGTGGGCAGGATGGGGAAGGCGAATTCAGTCAGATGCCACCAAGGAGGCAGCAGGAGCCAGAGCTTAAAGGCCTTGAATGCTGACCTAAGGGATTGAAATTCCTCCTGCAAGTAGTAGGGGGCTACTGAAGCTTGAAGCAGGGTATGACACAATCTCATTTTCATCTTACAAGCTCATTTTCATGACTGCAATTTGGGCAAGAAAGACAGGGTGGTCCATTGAGTAGGAGATTGTTCCAGAAATCCAGGTTGGAGGCAATGCAACTTGCTGGACCACTGAACCAGGGCAGTGGTTATGAAGAAGATGAGGATAGAGTCAAGAGCTAGAAAAGAGATAGAGGGATCAGGACTTGGAATGATTTATTTATTCATTGATTCATCCATTCAAAAAATACCTGTTGGCCGGGCACAGTGGCTCACTCCTATAATCCCAGCACTTTGCGGGGGCCGAGCTGGGTAGATCATGAGGTCAAGAGATCGAGACCATCCTGGTGAACAAGGTGAAACCCCGTCTCTACTAAAAATACAAAAATTAGCTGGGCATGGTGGTGCGAGCCTGTAGTCCCAGCTACTCGGGAGGCTGAGGCAGGAGAATTGCTTGAACCCAGGAGGCGGAGGTTGCGGTGAGCCGAGATCCTACCATTGTGCTCCAGCCTGGGTAACAAGAGTGAAACTCCGCCTCAAAAAAAAGAAACATTAATTAATTAATTAATTAATTTTAAAAATACCTGTTGTGGCTGGGCGTGGTGGCTCACGCCAATCCCAGCAATTTGGGAGGTAGAGGAGGACGGATCACCTGAGGTCAGGAGTTTGAGACCAGCCTGGTCAATGTGACAAAAACCCTGTCTCTACTAAAAATACAAAAATTAGCCAGGCATTGTGGCACACACCTGTAATCCCAGCTACTCAGAGGTGGAGGCAGGAGAATCGCTTGAACCCAGGAGCCACTGTATTCCAGTCTGGGTGACAGAGCAAGACTCCATCTCAAAAAAAAAATAGAAACTGGGGAGCCCATTTTTAGATATGGTATGCATGGTGGGAGAAGCCTTTCTGAAGAGTGGATATTTCAGCTGAGACCTAAACGATGACAAAAAAGACAGCCATACAAAGAGGTGGGGAAGAAGGGGGAGGGCACTTCCTGCAAAAGAAAGAGCAAGTGCAAAGACTCTGGCACAAGAAAGGGCTTTGGGTATTAAGGAACATTGAGGAGGCCACTGTGACAAGCTTAGTGAGCAAGGGAGAGCAGTAGGCTTGAGGTCACAGTTCAAGGAAGGGGAAATTGACCTCAGGCTATGGTAAGGACTGTGGATTTTATTCTAAGATGAATAGTCTCAGGGAGGCATTGAGGGTTTTTAACTACAGCAGCTGCAAAATCTGATTTATACATCTAAAAGACCCCATGCAAGTAAACAAATAAACATGTTAACAACTCAATGTGTTTTTTTGTTTTTGTTTTTTGTTTCTTGAGATGGAGTCTCCCTCTGTCACCCAGGCTGGATTGCAGTGGTGCAATCTTGGCTCACCGCAACATCCGCCTCCCGAGTTCAGGCAATTCTCCTGCCTCAGCCTCCTGAGTAGCTGGGATTACAGGCACGCGCCACCATGCCCAGCTAATTTTTTGTATTTTTAGTAGAAACGGGGTTTCACCATGTTGACCAGGATGGTCTCGATCTCTTGACCTCGTGATCCAACCGCCTCGGCCTCCCAAAGTGCTGGGATTACAGGCGTGAGCCACCGCACCTGGCCTTTTTTTTGTATTTTTAGTAGAGATGAGGTTTCACCATGTTGGCCAGGCTGGTCTTGAACTCATGACCCCAGGTGATCTGCCCACCTTGGCCTCCCAAAGTGCTGGCATTACAGGCATGACCCACACCTGTAATCGTGTTAAGTTCTGTAAAGGATAGAAATAGGGTAATAAAATAGAAACTGGGTGCATGGGCGAGGTGGCTCATGCCTGTAATCCCAAGCACTTTAGGAGCCCAAGGAAGGCAATCACAAGGTCAGGAGTTCAAGACCAGCCTGGCCAATATGCTGAAACCCCATCTCTACTAAAAATACAAAAAAATTAGCCAGGCAAGGTGGCACATGCCTGTAATCCCAGCTACTTGGGAGGCTGAGGCAGGAGAATCACTTGAACCCAGGAGGCAGAGGTTGCAGTGGCTCACGCCTATATTCCCAGAACTTTGGGAGGCCGAGGCGGGTGGATCATGAGGTCAAGAGATCGAGACCATCCTAGTCAACATGGTGAAACCCCGTCTCTACTAAAAATACAAAAAATTAGCTGGGCATGGTGGTGCGTGCCTATAATCCCAGCTACTTGGGAGGCTGAGGCAGGAGAATCACTTGAACCCAGGAGGCGGAGCTTGCAGTGAGCCGAGATCACGCCATTGCACTCCAGGTTGGGTAACAAGAGCGAAACTCCATCTCAAAAAAAAAAATTAGGCCGGGCGCGGTGGCTCACGCCTGTAATCCCAGCACTTTGAGAGGCTGAGGCGGGTGGATCACGAGGTCAAGAGATCGAGACCATCCTGGTCAACATGGTGAAACCCCATCTCTACTAAAAATACAAAAATTAGCCGGGCATGGTGGTGCGTGCCTGTAATCCCAGCTACTCAGGAGGCTGAGGCAGGAGAATTGCCTGAACCTGGGAGGCGGAGGTGAGGTGAGCCGAGATCGCGCCATTGCACTCCAGCCTGGGTAACAAGAGCGAACCTCCGTCTCAGGAAAAAAAAAAAAATTAGAGGCTGAAACAACTGGTAGTACAGAAACAACTGGTGGCACCCGCCTGTTGTCCCAGCTACTTAAGGGGCTGACACGGATCGTTGCTTGAGCCCAAGAGGCAGAGGTTGCAGTGAGCCGTTAATTGTACCATTGCACTGAAGCCTGGGTGGCAGCAAGACCCTATCTCAGAAAAGAAAAGAAAGGCCAGGGGAGGTAGCTCATACCTTTAATCCCAGCACTTGGGGAGGCCGAAGCCGGCATATCACCTGAGGTCAGGAGTTTGAGACCAGCCTGACCAACATGGAGACACCCCATCTCTACTAAAAATACAAAATTAGCCAAATGTGGTGGTGCATGACTGTAATCCCAGCTGCTTGGGAGGCTGAGGCAGGAGAATCACTTGAACCCAGGAAGTGGAGGTTGCAGTGAGCCAAGATCGTGCCATTGCATTCCACCCTGTGCAACAAGAGTGAAATTCCATCTCAAAAAAAAAAAAAAACAAAAGAAACTTCGGGTCTCGATGGTGGGTGGATGTGGCAGGTGAAGAAACAATCAGGGATATGGTGTGGGTTTTTTAATTGAGCCCCAAATCGTGGTGCCATTTACTGAGATGGCAATGACAGGAGGAAAACAGGTGTATATGGTAGTGGGGAAGGGGATTAAACCCTCTGTTTTGGAGAAACTGGCATGCCTGTTGGCATCCATGTGGAAATATCAGGAAGACAAATGGAGATACTGTTTGGTGTTCCAGGAAGAAAGGCAGGCTGGAGATAGAATATTGGGAATCATCATGTAGTTAATAATTGAGTCACCCAAGAAAGGAAGGAAAGAGGGAGGGAGGGAGGAAGACAGGGAGGGAGGCAGGGAGACGGAGGTAGGGAGAGCAGTCAGAGGTCTAATGAGGAAAAGGTGTTAGCAAAGGAGATTAACTCGGAGCAGCCAGTAGACAGCAAGAAACGGGGGAGCGTGAAGCCGTGGAAGTTAAGAGAGGATCAGCTGTATGAAAGGTTCAACAAAATGAGTGTCCCGCTGCCAGTGATGACAGTGCAAGGTGCGGTCCTGCTCTGGAAGATGGACGACAGTAAAATAAATACCGTTTCCCGTTCAGCTCCTCTAAGGACTGTCCTTGTAAGCCTCAGGCTGCGGAAAGTGGTGAGTCAAAAAGCTTGGAAAGAAAGGATCCTAAGGTGGAGGGGAGGGAGCCTTTTGAGTATCACATGAGATAATGCCAAAAATGCATTTTGTAGCCCCCTCTGTGCTAACGTCATTGTAGCTGTTATTAATAAGACAGGGACTGAACCGAGACCTCTCAATGAGAGCCAGCAGATAAGACGTGTGCAAGGATATTCCGAGGAGGAAATTTCAAAAAGAAGAAAACCCGTTCCTCCTGAGATCTGTCCTCCAAACCAGGCTTTGGGTTGGTCGAGGATATCCGAGAGCAGCGTTGCACCTCAATCCAGACTGACCTCAAGGCGGCAGCAGTGAGCAGAGTGCCGGGCGGATGCCCAGTCCCGCCCGAAGCCAAAGGGGAGGAAGTACAGACCCAGGAGTGAGGGCTCCCTCTGACTCCGCCTCCCTTCGCCGACGGCCAATCAGGATGCAGCTGGCAGGACCTAGGCGCGGGAACGGGGAGGAGCGACGATCCGAGGACCCTTAATCCACCGCGAGGTGGTGTCTAGTTATACGTTTGATACCTTTCCGTGCTGGAACTTTGTTGCTCAGACAAAAACCGAGTGCAACACTTTGGAGAAAGATCTCGCAGTTTCATATAAAACTAAATATACAACTACTCTGTGACCCAGAATTTCTCACCTAGGTATTTATTCAAAATAGGGCCGGGCGCGGTGGCTCACGCCTGTAATCCCAGCACTTTGGGAGGCCAAGGCAGGTGGATCACGAGGTCAGCAGATCGTGACCATCCTGGCCAACACAGTGAAACCCCGTCTTATATTAAAAAAAAAAAAATTTAGGCCGAGCGCGGTGGCTCACGCCTGTAATCCCAGCACTTTGGGAGGCAGAGGCGGGTGGATCACGAGGTCAAGAGATCGAGACCATCCTGGTCAACATGGTGAAACCCCGTCTCTACTAAAAAATACAAAAAATTAGCCAGGCATGGTAGCGCGTGCCTGTAGTCCCAGCTACTCGGGAGACTGAGGCACGGGAATCGGGTGAACCCGGGAGGCGGAGGTTGCAGCCTGGGTGACAGAGAGAGACTCTCTCAAAACAACAAATTGGGCTGCGCGTGGTGGCTTGCGCCAGCAATTCCAGCACTTTGAGAGGCCGAGGTGGGCGGATCAGCTGTGGTCGGGAGTTCGAGACCAGCCTGAGCAACACAGACAAACCCTGTCTCTACTAAAAATACAAAAAGACTAAAATTTTAGTCTCTACTAAAAATTAACCGTGCGTAGTGGCGCATGCCTATAATCCCTGGGCAAGAAGAGCGAAACTCCATCTCAAAAAAAAAAAAAAAAAAAGTGAGAACTAGTGTGAGAGGAAGTAGGAATGATTGATTACTGCCTAATGGATGAAATTTCTTTTCTTTTCTTTTTTCTTTTTTGAGATCTTTTTCTGTCGCCCAGGCCGGAGTGCAGTGGTGCGTTCTCGGCTCACTGCAACCTCCGCCTCCCGGGTTCAAGGAATTATTCTGTCTCAGCCTCCCAAGTAGCTGGGACTACAGGCTCACGCCACCATGCCCAGCTAATTTTTTGTATTTTTAGTAGAGACGGGGTTTCACCTTGTTGGTCAGGCTGGTGTTGAACTCCTGACCTCAGGTGATCCACCTGCCTCTGCCTCCCATAATGATGGGATTATAGGAGTGAACCACTGCGCCCCGCCTGGATGAAGTTTCTATGTGAAATAATGAAAACATTCAAAACTGCGTTGTGGGGAAAGTGAAAAAAAAAAAAAAAAATCGTGTTGATGGTTATATATTTGAAATGTACTTAATGCCATGAGTTATACATTTAAAAATAGTTAAAATGATAAATTTTATGTCGTCTTTTTCCACAATTTTTTTAAATAAAAGTTTGAAAGTAAGAAAAAGAAATTAAAAAAAAAAAAAAAAAGTGGCCGGGCATGGTGGCTTACCCCTGTAATCCAAGCACTTTGGAGGCCAAGGCGGGCAGATCACCTGAGGTCGGGAGTTCAAGACCAGCCTGACCAACATGGTGAAACCCCGTCTTTAAAATAAATAAATAAAAGTTTGAAAGCCAAAACAAAAAAGCATACTGCGAGAAAATCTGCCGGGACATTCTGGTGCCTTCTCTTGAAGCAGTCTGGGGTACTGCACACAGAGACAGGGGTTAGGGGATTGGCTTCCCCTACTCTAAGTGTGCTAGGACCACTCTAAGCAGAGGGCAGTAGGAAGAGAAAACACAGGCTTTGGAAACATACCTGGGTTCATAATCCCAGCTCTTTCATTTTCTCCCTATGTGACTGTATGTTTCTTATTGCTATGGCTGCTATAACAAATTATCATACATTTAGTGGCTTAAAACAACACAAATTTATTTTTATTTTTATTTATTTATTTATTTTGAGACGGAATTTCACTTTTGCTGCCCAGGGTGGAGTGCAGCTGCAGGATCTCAGCCCACCACAACCTCCACTTCCCGGGTTCAAGTGATTCTCCTGCCTCAGCCGTCCGAGTAGCTGGGATTACAGGAATGCGCCACCATGCCCGGCTAATTTTGTATTTTTAGTAGAGGCGGGGTTCTCCGTGTTGGTCAGGCTGGTCTCGAACTCCTGACCTCAGGTGATTCGCCCGCCTCGGCCTCCCAAAATGCTGGGGTTACAGGCCTGAGCCACCGTGCCCGGCAACAACACAAATTTATTATCTTGTCATTCTGAAGTCAAGAGTCTGAAATGTGTCCTACTGGGCTAAAATCAACAGCTGTGTTCCTTCTAGAGACTTCAGGAGATAATCCATTTCCTTGCCCTTTCCAGCTTTTAGAGGCCTCCTGCCTTCCTTGGCTTAGCCTGTGGCCCCTGCCTCCATCCTCAAAGCCAGCAGTAACATATTCACATCTCTCACTCTCTCACCTCTGCTTCCTTTGTCATATCTTCTCTGACTTTTCTGTTTCCTTCTTTCCCTTGTGATTACATTGGGCCCACCACAGCCTCCTCCGTCTACTGGATTTGGTTCGCTCGGCCACCACCATAAACCTCCTTCCACTGGCAGGGAATTGGTACAGTCCAATCTCCAGCGTAGAAACGCAAAGAACGACACGCCCATTGTTACTCCCCTACCTCTGATTGGCTGGATAATTTAAAGATCCAGTCGGTGATTGGGGGATTTTCTGCCTCTAGTATTTGAAAAAATTTCTAGTTTCGGAGCTTCGCATTCGGCTGGCTGCCATCGGCTTGTTCATCTGAGTGTCGACACGAGTGAGCGTCTGCCGGAGCCCCGAGGTGGGGAGCAAAGAGCCTGATTCTTCTAGGGGTTTCCCGCCGGGAGGGTGCAGACGAGTGAGTCAGCCGGAGGGAGCATGGATTCTAGAGTCCCAGGGTCCCCCGCGATTTCCCTAGCCGAATATTTTCCACCTCGTCCCCACCTTGGTGGTGGGAAGCGCCAGGGCATGGTAATCACACTGACTTTGACTACTAGCCGCTGTGGCTTATGATGGGCAAGTGAGTTTCCCTCTCCTAGCCCGTTTCCGCATCTGTACACCGGGAATAGTGAGACCTGCCTGCTGCATATAAGCCAGTGAATGTACCCGCAAAGCAGAAGGCGCTTATTACCTGGCAGCCCTCTTTGCGTCTCCCCACGGACAGTTCTGCTTCCAGGGGAGAGGACTCGGAGGATTCCTGTGCTGGCCCTGGGTCTCTGCGAAGGAGAATTCTTTCAGCGCAGGGAACCCATTCTTCTAATGAGGCCCTTGCAGGACACCTGAGGCACCCAAATCCTGGGTGCCCATCAGCTCCCGAATTGTAGTATAGTGTATACACACACACACACACACATATATATAATATATGCAAATGTATGTATATGTATTTTTTTTTTTAATTAGAGGATCTCGCTATGTTGCTATGTTGCCCAGGATGGTCTCGAGCTCCTGGGTTCAAGCGATCTTCCTTCCTCAGCCTCCCAAAGTGTTGGAATTACAGGCGCCCGCCACCACAACCAGCTAATTTTTGTATTTTTAGTAGAGACGAGGTTTCACCATGTTGGCCAGGCTGATCTCAGAACTCCTAACCTCAGGTGATCTGCCCGCCTCAGCCTCCCAAAGTGCTGGGATTACAGGCGTGAGCCACCGCGCCCGGCCCAGGGTACATTCTAAGAGTGGATTTTCGGTTAGCCCCAAAGTCCTTTCTCCGTCTCTGTGACCTCCTTGTGTTACCTGTGACAGTTCTCCTGATCCTGTGTGGCCTTGACGCTGTTCCCTGTCACGTCCTCTATAGCACCCACTACGTCCCCTGAATCCTCATGACCCCTGGGCTCCGTTCTCTTCGCAGACCTGCAGAGGCGGTGGCGATGCTTTCTGGCACGGAGGCGGCGGCAGGGGACTACGAGGACTCGGAGCTGCGGTGCCGTGTGGCTGTGGAGGAGCTGAGCCCGGGCGGGCAGCCGCGAAGGCGCCAAGCCCTGCGCACCGCGGAGCTGAGCCTGGGTCGCAACGAGCGCCGCGAGTTGATGCTGCGACTGCAGGCGCCGGGGCCCGCAGGGCGGCTGCGCTACTTCCCTCTGCGCGCCGCGCGCCTCTTCACGCGTTTCGCCGCTGCTGGGCGCAGCACCCTGCGGCTCCCGACTCAAGGCGCCCCAGGGGCCGGCGCGGTGCAGCTGCTGCTCTCCGACTGCCCCCCGGACCGCCTGCGCCGTTTCCTGCGCACATTGCGCCTCAAGCTGGCTGCGGCCCCGGGTCCCGGGCCCGCCTCTGCCCGCGCACAGCTGCTGGGCCCGCGGCCCCTCGACTTCGTCACCATCAGCCCTGTGCAGCCTGAGGAGCGGCGGCTTGGGGCAGCCACCCAGGTTCCGGACACCACAATGGTGAAGCGGCCTGTGGAGCCCCAGGCAGGGGCCGAGCCTAGCACAGTGAGGACCGGAAAGGGAACATCCTTAGGAGTGGATGTGCCATTGAGACCTAGAGGCCCAAGTTTGAGGGGAAGCCGGTGTGGGTATTTGAGGGCGTGGCTGGTTGTCTTAGATACCCATGGGACATCTGAGTGTGACACGGGTGTGGAAATGGTGCCTGTGGTCTTTACGGTGTAATACCTGAGACGGACTAAGACAAAACAGGAAATAGGGCCTGGCTACATTAAAAGAGAAAGCAGAGGCTGGGCGCGGTGGCTCACGCCTGTAATCCCAGCACTTTGAGAGGCCGAGGCAGGCAGATCACCTGAGGTCAGGAGTTCGAGACCAGCACGTGGCCAACATGGTGAAACTAAAAATACGAAAATTAACCTGTCGTGGAGGCAGGCACCTGTAATCCCAGCTACCCAGGAGGCTGAGGCAGGAGAATCGCTTGAACCTGGGAGGCAAAGGTTGTAGTGAACTGAAATTGTGCCACTGCACTCCAGCCTGGGTGACAGAGCGAGACTCTTCCTAAAAGAGAGAGAGAGAGAGAGAGCAAGCGAAAGCAGAGGAGACCTGAAAGGAGACTCCAGAAGAATGCATGGGCCCAGAGGAGAGGAGCTTTTGGAGAGAATAAAGTAGTCATTCATGTCCTGGGCAGCCAGATGAGGGGAACAAAGACTGGCAAGTTCGACAGTTTTTGTGGGCTGGGGTAGGTGAATCATAGACCACTAGGGTTTGACCCTCACTAAGCTGGTGAGAGGACAGAGATAGGACAAGAAGGGGCCCTGGCTAGGCAGGGTTTTGAGGTGAGAAACAGGTTTGTGATAGGAAGAGAAACTTAGGTGACTGGAAGGAAACTTAGATGACAGGATAAGAAGGGTTAGGAAACCGAGGGGAAGGAACTGAGGGAGCACACGGGGTGGTCTGCCCAGGATTGGACAATGGGGGTCTTCAGGGCACAAAGAGAGACCTGGACCCCAGTAGTTGCTGATAGGCTCTCCAGGCAAACCCAAGAGCTCCAAGAGATGAAGGCAGCAGAGGACAAAGGGCTACCAGGCCCAGCATTGCACATGGGCCAAGAAGGGTGGGGCAGTGCCTAGCTGGTGGGAGGATGCTCTGAGATAGCTCTTTTCCCCCCAGGAAGCCCCAAGGTGGCCCCTGCCTGTGAAGAGGCTGAGCTTACCCTCCACCAAGCCACAGCTTTCTGAGGAACAGGCCTCTGTGCTGAGGGCCGTCCTGAAAGGCCAGAGCATTTTCTTCACTGGGAGTGCAGGTAGTAGGGGCAGAGACGGGGTAGGGGGACAGTGGTGGGGTGGGATGGAGGAACAGGGAGCCCTATCTAACTTTGCCCCTGTCCAGGAACAGGGAAGTCATATCTGCTGAAGCGAATACTGGGCTCACTGCCCCCCACAGGCACTGTGGCCACTGCCAGTACTGGGGTGGCAGCCTGCCACATCGGGGGTACCACCCTTCATGCCTTTGCAGGTAAGTGGGAACCCCTGGGGCTTGAGCTAAGAGCAAGTCCACCTTCTGGGAAGGGAGAGAGGGGAGGTCTGCATTAAGAGGGTTTCGGGGGCGGGGCACAGTGGCTCAGGCCTATAATCCCAGAACTTATAGGAGGCCAAGGTAGGAGGATCGCTTGAGCCCAGGAGTTTGTGACCAGCCTGGGCAATATAGTGAGACCGCTTCTCTACACAGAATTTTAAAATTAGCTGAGCATGATGGTGTGTGCCTATAGTCTCAGCTACTATGGAGGTTGAGGTGGGAGGATCGCTTGAGGCCAAGGTTATAGTGAGCCAAGATCGTGCCACTGCATTTCAGCCTGGGTAACAGAGATAGACCTTGTTTTGGGGAAAAAAAAAAAAAGGGCCAGTCGTGGTGGCTCACACCTGTAATCCAAGCACTTCGGAGGCCAAGGCGGGCAGATCACCTGAGGTCGGGAGTTTAAGACCAGCCTGACCAACATGGTGAAACCCCGTCTTTAAAAAAAAAGGAAAGAGGGTTTGGATATTAGCCCAGGCTGAATAGTGTCACTCACAGGCATCGGCTCAGGCCAGGCTCCTCTCGCCCAGTGTGTGGCCCTGGCCCAAAGGCCGGGCGTGCGGCAGAGCTGGCTGAACTGCCAGAGGTTGGTCATTGATGAGATCTCAATGGTGGAGGCAGACCTGTTTGACAAACTGGAGGCCGTGGCCAGGTCAGTATGTTCAATGGGCAGCAGGTAATTACTGGGACCCGGTGTTCTTCCGTGTGCCCCTAAAGCACCCCACGCTCCTCCTCTCCAGAGCTGTCCGGCAGCAGAACAAACCATTTGGAGGGATCCAGCTCATCATCTGTGGGGACTTTCTGCAGCTGCCACCTGTGACGAAGGGCTCCCAGCCCCCACGGTTCTGCTTCCAGGTACCACTCACCTCCTAGCCCTGCTTTTCATGGTGGGGGGGTCTGCTCTGTTCCTTGACCCACCCCCACCCTGCCCCCACCAGGCCAAGAGCTGGAAGAGGTGTGTGCCAGTGACCCTGGAGCTGACCAAGGTTTGGAGGCAGGCAGACCAGACCTTCATTTCTCTACTGCAGGCCGTGAGGCTGGGCAGGTGAGCTCTGCTGGATGGGGAAGGGGCCATGGGATGAGGATCCAGGCACGGGCCAGAGTGGAACACAGGGAGGGATCCAGGGAAGGGGGAGAATGCTTGCCCTCAGGAGCAGGTACTCCATGCAGGAAAAGGAGCCTTGGGCAAGGCACGGGCAATTCAGGATAGACTGTAGTCAAGAGCTTCATGGCCCCAATAGGAGGTGGCCTCCCTCAGGGTTGGGTTCCTGTCACCTAGTACAAGTGCTGTCACAAAGTAGGTGTCAGGGAAGGAAGGATGGACAGACACAGGAGGAATTCAAAGATATTAACAGCCCATTTCACAGATGCAAAAACCAGGGCTCAAAGAGGTGAAGTGACTCACCTGAAGTCATGGCCAGTAAGTGGTTGGAATTTGTACCCAGGGCTGACTCCAAAACTCAAGTTCCTTCTGCTCTTAGAGCTTGTGGAATCCCTGGGTGGAGGAGGGGAGGTTGCAGACATGATCTCTCTCCAGCTAGAGCAAAAGGTTGAAATGTAACGACAGGAAGGGGAAGAGCCCACTCTGACATGCATGGAGGACAAGAGGAAGGCTGAGTGGCAGAGCAGGTAGAGATGGCTCCTAGCTGCTCCATCCTCCCGCTTGAGTTGGTGCTGGACCCAGGCTTCCTGGTGGAGGAAGGCTTGATACTGGGGAAATTAGAAGCACAAGCTAGATTTTTCACCTGAGGTAGCAAGCAAGTAGCTAGAAGAGTGTACCCTGGCAGCCAGTCTGGGTCCTGCAAATCTCCAGCCTGTGCTCACTCATCATAGCCAACGTACTCAGGAGCATTATGGGGCGGGAGGGTGGCCAGCTCTGACCTGGGGGCAGCACAGGAAAGGGTGCTCACCCATGATCAAAGCTCAGTATCCTGCCCCTGTTTATTCCCCATGTTTGGGGTCCAAGTGTGGAAGGCACAGGTTGGCCAGCTTGGGGGGCAGCAACTCTTCCCTGGTGCCCTCTTCCATTCCCAAGGCCTGACCCATGGCCTGCTGCCCATCCTGCCCATGTTCCCCACTTTCCTGCCGTATGGGTGGGCTCTGCCCTGACAGCCCAGCCCCCACAGGTGCTCAGATGAGGTGACCCGCCAGCTCCAGGCCACAGCTGCCCACAAGGTGGGGCGAGATGGGATTGTGGCCACGAGGCTCTGCACCCACCAGGATGACGTGGCCCTCACCAACCAGAGGCGGCTGCAGGAGCTGCCAGGTGAGCAGGGAACCTGGGCTGGGCAAGACCAGTGGGGAGGGGTAGTATAAGCAAATGTGGCCCCCAGGCAACTTGGGCCTCTGGGACCTAGGCCCCCAACCTCCATGGCCATAAAGGGTCTTATATTTGCAAATGCAATTGTGACTGACTTTGAGAGGTATGATGCTCTAAATTCCACAGCCCCGCAGGCCTGTGCTGCCTCTGCTCCACACCCCCGTGCTCTGGTCTGATAGTTTTTTTCTGGACACTGAGCCACAGTCAGTGATTTGTGATCTGTTTTTCTTTTTCTCCAGGTAAGGTACACAGATTTGAGGCTACGGACAGCAACCCTGAGCTAGCCAGTACCCTGGATGCCCAGTGTCCTGTTAACCAGCTCCTTCAGCTAAAGCTGGGAGCCCAGGTGAGTGGGAAGCAGGGCCTAACACCTGGGAACTTGGACTGTCCTGCATGGGCCTTCCTGATCCTTACCCCTCTGCCCAGGCCACTCCACAGCCAGTGGGCCCAGCTTTGACCACACTGAAAACCTCCCTCCCTCCTGTTCCCACCTACCTTCCCATCTTCAGCTTTCCACTGTTCTCCTCTTCCTATACCTGGAGGTCCTCCAAGCAGTGTTACTTTGGGCAAGTTTCTTTCCCTTGCTGAAGCTCTGTCCCCTCAACCCTAACTATGGGGAATGAAATACCTACCCCACACGGTTGTCTTCCGTGGTATACTCCACAGGTGGGAGAGAGTCCTGATTCCTCCCATGATGTTGGAGGTGGGTAGATTTCCTGTAGGTGCCAAAGGGCACCCGAAGGGAAAATGGAAGCACGGCGTATCTGAGAGGGGTGGCAAGACCTAGATGGTCCACAGATGTCCTATGACAGAGCTGATCATTTTCAAAGCCCTGTGATAGAGGTTGCCTTATTGATCCCTTACCACCTCCTTCTGGGGCATATGGAGCAAATGTTATTCCTCTTTGACATAAGGGAAAATTGCGACCGAGGAAGATAAGGCAACTTGTCCCAGGGGTCACAGGCAGCCTGTGGCAGAGCTAAAGATTGGGATTCAGTGTCCCCATGACAGCTCCCTGCCCTCAGCCTTGGAGAACAGCGATGGCTAAACTAAGGCCAGGCATGGGTAGGGGGGCTGCTGTCCATTCCTCTCTCTCCCTTGCAGGTGATGCTGGTGAAAAACTTATCAGTGTCTCGGGGCCTGGTGAACGGTGCCCGAGGGGTGGTAGTCGGGTTTGAGGCTGAAGGGAGAGGTGAGTGTTGGGAGGAGGTGGCAGTCCAACTTCCAGGCTTTGCAGCATGGCCCTGGGGAATGGTGGGGGAGAAAAAGGTTAGGAAGGAAAGCTCCAAAGGCCCCTGCTCCTCACCTCAGAGCCCTGAAGCAGAGCTAAAGTCAGACTGCTCTGTGCCCTCCTTAGGGCTACCCCAGGTGCGGTTCCTGTGTGGAGTCACCGAGGTCATCCGCACTGACCGCTGGACAGTTCAGGTCACCGGGAGCCAGCTCCTTAGCCGGCAGCAGCTGCCCCTCCAGCTGGCTTGGGCGATGTCCATCCACAAGAGCCAAGTAAGCACCAGGGTAGGGGGTGGGGACAGGGTGGGCAGAGGGAGGACAGGCATATTGGGGTCTATGTCTTTTTTTTTTTTTTTGAGATAGAGTCTCGCTCTGTCACCAGGCTAAAGTGCAGCGGCACAACCTTGGCTCACCGCAACCTCTACCTCCTGGGTTCAAGCGATTCTCCTGTCTCAGCCTCCTGAGTAGCTGGGACTACAGGCACATGTCACCACGTCCAACTTGTTTCTTGTATTTTTAGTAGACATGGGGTTTCACCATGTTGGCCAGGATGGGCTCGATCTCCTGACCTCGTGATCCACCTGCCTAGGCCTCCCAAAGTGCTGGGATTCCAGGTGTGACCCACTGCGCCCGGCCCAGAATAAACCTTTTTTTAGTGAGTTTCCCAGCCCACCTCCTCTCCCCTTCCTGGACACAGTCACTTCACCTCTGCCATCTCCTCGCCCACAATTTTCTAAGCCACTACTAGATAAGTTAAATTGTGTAAATTGTATATAACTGTTGTATAAAGTATAGATATAATGAATAATCAATCCTATTTTGCACAGAAATAAACCAGGTCTTAGAGAGGTGAAGGAACATGTCCCAGGTCACAGTTAGTGAACGGCAGCCTGGATTCAGCTCCACGCCTGCCTGACTCAGAGCCTGAGCTCTTTCCTTTCACTCCATCCTTCAACTTTTACCTGGATCTATGTCTCCCGGTCCCCTCCTACTCAGATAGTCACCTGCTGTCATGCTCTCCCTCTGTCTAGAGACTCTCTGGATGAGGAGATACAGGGGCAAGAGCAGGGCTGGTAAAGGGTCAGGCCTGGCTGGGTGCAGTGGCTCACATCTGTAATTCCAGCACTTTGAGAGCCGAGGCTGGTGGATCATTCTAGCCAACATGGTGAAATTCTATCTCTACTAAAAATACAAAAATTAGCTGGGTGTAGTGATCACACCTGTAGTCCCATACTTGGGAAGCTGAGGCAGGGATCACTTGAACCTGGGAGGTAGAGGTTGCAGTGAGCTGAGATGGCACCACTGCACTCTAGCCTGCGTGACAGAGCCACTCCATCTCAAAAAAAAAAAAGGTGGGGGTCAGGCCCCTATGGGGCAAGGGACTTCAGGCTGAGCTGGCTCCATCTGTCTCTGCGTCCCCCAGGGCATGACCCTGGATTGTGTGGAGATTTCTCTGGGCCGGGTGTTTGCCAGTGGCCAGGCCTATGTGGCCCTTTCCCGGGCCCGCAGCCTGCAGGGCCTACGTGTGCTGGACTTTGACCCCATGGCAGTTCGCTGTGACCCCCGCGTGCTGCACTTCTATGCCACCCTGCGGCGGGGCAGGAGCCTCAGTCTGGTGAGAGGGAGTCATCTAATTTGAGTTCTGTGACCATGGACTGGCTGGGAACCAGGACAGAGAGAGGGCCCAGTGGGACCTGGGGTGGGGGCAGCATAGCCCTCTGCTGGCTCCTTTGAGGGTGAGGGCAAGAGGGAAGAGATGCTGGCCCTGAGGCTGTGGCCCTGGGGAACAGCCCAAGTCCATGACTGGGCTTCTCTGGCTCTGATCCAGGAGTCCCCAGATGGTGACGAGGCAGCCTCAGACCAGGAGAACACGGACCCAAACCTCTGAGCCTCACCTGCAAAGAGAAGACAAAGGGTGGCCTCCCCATCCTCCTGCTCCCTAGTGGGCCAGGGCCCCAGGGAGTAACTGGAGGAGGTGGCCAGTGTCCCCTTCTGTATTTTTTAGGGGCTCTCAGCCTCCTGGCAGGGTTAAATGGAGAGTGCTTTCCACCCATGTGCTAGCCGTGTTTCAGTTTCTCTCACTTTTCCCTGGGTGAGCTGCTTCAGGGTCAGAAGTAACCCTTTCTGTGCCAGTCGAGAATGAGCATGTGTGGTAGCTGGTGTCAGAGGACAGCTCTCTGCAAGGGCTGGACACAGAGCTGCAGAGTCCTGAACACCCCTCCTTTTGGGCTGCAGGAGGGAGAGGCAGTGAAAACATGTGCTCTGGAAGTAGAATCAGGCCTCTCTTGGAGGGGACCTGGGGAGCACTCAGGCTGGATACAGCCTCCAAACAGAGAATGGAATTTAGGTGCGTCTCCACAGGTAGGCCCAGCCTAGCCCAGCCCAGCCCAGCCCAGAACAAACACCCTTCCGAGCCTAACCTGAGAACATAAGCTGCAAAATGTGTACCCATATTTTAAGCTGCTTTTTCAGGTGATGAATAGTGTTTGGGGACATTGAAATGGGTGTTCTCAGGTTGTATTTATTTTGGACAAATAAACTAGTGAATTGGTAAGAACTGTGCCTCCTGCCTCCTCCCTCTCCCTCTCACTTGTGCATATGCACACAGGTGTTTGTTTAGACCACAGTGGCTGAGATCACAGCACCCTTCTGTGAGGTGTTAGTATCACTGCTTGTAGGCCAGGCACAGTGACTCACACCTGTAATCCCAGCACTTTGGGAGGCCGAGGCAGGCAGATCACGAGGTCAGGAGTTGGAGACCAGCCTGGCCAACATGGTGAAACCCAATCTCTATTTTTTTTTTTTTAAATAGAGATAGGGTGTCACCATGTTGGCCAGGCTGGTCTCCAACTCCTGACCTCAGGTGATCCACCCATTTCGGCCTCCCAAAGTGCTGGGATTACAGGCCTGAGACACCATGCCCTGCCTTTTATTTTTTATTTTTGAAACCCCATCTCTAAAAAAAAAAAAAAGTGTCCCTGGTCATTTGAAAAACTGAGTTATCTGATGTTGCTGACTAGCAATGAACTTACTTTGTCATTTGGTGAAGGTGAGTTACCATTACCCAGTAGTCAGACACCGACATACTAGAGAATTCACGTGGTGGGAAATGAACAGGGCTGCTGTGTGTTGCTCCATTTGCTAGGAGCTCGGCTGAAATTTCTCAGTTGAAATTTCTCGATTCGAGCCTTGCTGGTCTCCCCAGCTTGAACTTTCTGATCATCAACAAACACCAGTTTTTCAAAACACCTGATGGAAATTGCCCAGGGGTCTTCATAGGCTAGCTAAAACTAAGATTCTCTTTTTTTTTTTTTTTTTTTGAGATGGAGTTTCGCCCTTGTTACCCAGGCTGGAGTGCAATGGCGCGATCTCAGCTTACCACAACCTCCACCTCCTGGGTTCAGGCAATTCTCCTGCCTCAGCCTCCTGAGTAGCTGGGTTTACAGGCACGCACCACCATGCCCAGCTAATTTTTTGTATTTTTAGTAGAGACAGGGTTTCACCATGTTGACCAGGATGGTCTCGATCTCTCGACCTCGTGATCCACCCGCCTCAGACTCCCAAAGTACTGGGATTACAGGCTTGAGCCACTGCGCCTGGCCTAAGATTCTCTTTTTGTGAGTGAAAAGGTATCAGTTCTGGGTGGTAAATACAGGTTATGGTGGAGGCATGCATTGGCAACTACAGGTGTCAGATTGATAAAAAAGATGCCCTGATATGGTAGCTCAGGCCTGTAACCTCAGCATATTGGGAGGCTAAGGCAGGTGGATTGCTTGAACCTAAGAATTCAAGACCACCCTGGGCAACATAGTGAAGCCCCCATCGCTACCAAAAAACAAGAAGTTGCTGGGCGCAGTGGCCTACTCCCAGTCCCAGCTACTCAGGAGGCTGAGATGGGAGGATCACTTGAGCCCAGGAGGCAGAGGTTGCAGTGAGCCAAGATCATGCCATTGTACTCCAGCTTGGGTGATAGAGGGAGACTGTCTCTTTCTCTCTCTCTCTCTCTCTCTCTCACATACACACACACGTGTGTGTACATATATATATATAAAAGTGCTTGCTTTGACAGCACATATACTAAAATTGGTGTAGTGGCTCACATCTATAATCCAAGTACTTTGGGAGGCAGTGGCGGGCAGATCACTTGAGGTCAGGAGTTCAAGACCAGCCTGGCCAACATGGTGAAACCCCATCTCCACTAAAAATACAAAAACTAGCCAGGTGTGATGGTGAGTGCCTGTAATCCCAGCTACTAAGGAGGCTGAGGCAGGAAAATTGCTTGAACCCAGGAGGTAGAGGTTGCAGTGAGATTGTGCCACTGCACTCCAGCCTGGGCGATAAAGGCAGACTCTGTCTCGAAAAAAATAAAAAAGAGGGCCAGGCATAGTGGCTCATGTCTGTAATCCCAGCACTTTGGGAGACCAAGGCAAGCAGATTGCTTGAGGCCAGGATATTGAGACCAGCCTGGCCAACATAGCAAAAGTCCATCTCTACTACTTTTTGTAAAAATACAAAAAAATCAGCCAAGCAGGCTGATGTTACAGATGTTGGCTCACATCTGTAATCCTAGCACTTTGAGAGGCCAAGGTGGGCAGATCATGAGGTCAGGAGTTCGAGACCAGCCTGGCCAACATGGTGAAACCCCCTCTCTACCAAAAATACAAAAATTAGCCAGGTGTGGTGGCAGGCACCTGTAATCCCAGCTGCTCAGGAGGCTGAGGCAGGAGAACTGTTTAAACCGGGGAGGCAGAGGTTATAGTGAGCCAAGGTCACACCACTGCATACCAGCCTGGGTGACACAGCAAGACTCTGTCTTGGAAATAGATAAATAAATATACAAATAAATAGGCCGGGTGCAGTGGCTCTCACCTATAATCCCAGCACTTTGGGAGGCCGAGGTGGACAGATCACGAGGTCAGGAGTTCGAGACCAGACTGGCAAAAATGGTGAAACACCGTCTGTACTAAAAATACAAAAATTAGCTGAGCATAGTGGCGGGCACCTGTAATCCCAGTTGCTTGGGAGGCTGAGGCAGAGAATTGCTTGAACCTGGGAGGTGGAGGCTGCAGTGAGCTGAGATCATGCCACTGCACTCCACCTGGGCAGCAGAATGAAACTCTGTCAAAAAAAAAAAAAGAGCAATGGTAATGTAAAATCACCAATTATTGAGAATAATAAAATCATGCTCCTTGCTGGGGGACAGAATCTAGGTGCTCAGAGGCTCATCCCATTCTCCCAAAAGCCAGCAGAGGCCTCAGTGCACAGGGAAGGAGGGCTCAGGGAATTTCTGGTTAAATGGTAGAGACCACAGGGGCTCTGTGCTATGGTGGTTCAGTGGGACTGCAGGGCTCAGACCTTCACTGTGGGCTTCATGGAGGAAGAGGCAGGGCAAAAGCCTGTGAAGAATTCGACCGATGGTTATGGCTCAGGAGATAGACCTGGTTTTTCTTTTTTTTTTTGAGATGGAGTTTCGCTCTTGTTACCCAGGCTGGAGTGCAATGGCGTGATCTCGGCTCACCGCAACCTCCGCCTCCTGGGTTCAGGCAATTCTCCTGCCTCAGCCTCCTGTGTAGCTGGGATTACAGGCATGCGCCATCATGCCCAGCTAATTTTTTGTATTTTTAGTAGAGATGGGTTTCACCATGTTGACCAGGATGGTCTGGATCTCTTGACCTCGTGATCCAGCCGCCTCAGCCTCCCAAAGTGCTGGAATTACAGGCGTGAGCCACCGTGCCCGGCCCTATACCTGGTTTTTCTTTATTTTTTTATTTTTATTTTATTTTACTTTATTTTTGTTGTTGTTGTTGTTGAGACGGAGTCTCGATGTTGTTACCCAGGCTGGAGTGCAATGGCACAATCTCGGCTCACCGAAACCTCTGCCTCCTGGGTTCAAGCAATTCTCCTGCCTCAGCCTCCCGAGTAGCTGGGATTACAGGCACGCACCACCATGCCCAGCTAATTTTCATATTTTTAGTAGAGATGGGGTTTCACCTCGTTGACCAGGATGGTCTCGATCTCTTGACCTCAGATCCACCCACCTCCGCCTCCTAAAGTGCTGAGATTATAGGCGTGAGCCACCGCGCCCGGCCTATTTTTTTATTATTGTTTTTTTTACGGCTGCCTCCTGTTTTATTGAATCAGTTCCTTATACATGTGCACTTCAGTTGCTTTCAGTATTTGCTCTTACAAGCAATACTTCAGTGAACAAAGGCAGCGTGTGTGTGTGTGTGTGTGTGTGTGTGTGTGTGAACCACATGGCTGTTTATTATTTATTTATTTATTTTTAATCCACCCCACAGAAAGAGAGCCTCAAAAAATTGGATTAAGACTCAGAATTGGCCGGGTGCAGTGGCTTAAGCCTGTAACCCCAGCACTTTGGGAGGCCGAGGTGGGTGGATCACGAGAGATCGACACCATCCTGGTCAACATGGTGAAACCCCGTCTCTACTAAAAATACAAAAAATTAGCTGGGCATGGTGGCGCGTGCCTGTAATCCCAGCTCAGGAGGCTGAGGCAGGAGAATTGCCTGAACCCAGGAGGCGGAGGTTGCGGTGAACCGAGATCGGCCATTGCACTCCAGCCTGGGTAACAAGAGCGAAACTCCATCTCAAAAAAAATAAAATAAAAAGACTCAGAATTGTTCCTCTCCATGGAAATCTTAGTAAAAGACTAAAGATTTATATGATTTGAAGAGAAACCAGAGTATGAACGTTCAAGCACTGGGTGCTGGCAGGCTGAGGCCGAAAAGGGCGTTAGCCCAGACCTGGTTTTTCATCTTCATTTTGATATTCTCCATCTGTGTAACTGTAGCCGTGTTACACAACCTCTCTGTGAGAATTTCCTCACCTATAAAATACCTATGAAGTGTCAGAGGAAGGGGTTCCTTTCACATAGGGTTGTTAGAAAGGCCAGCCACATGGCAGGAATCCCATCAGTAGCTGTTATTAATCTGTGATCACTATGATGTTTGTACAGCACAGTTCTGTCTGATTCCTATACTGGCTCCTGTGGCAGACAAAATACAGAGGCTCAGAGAGGCGCCAGCCTGGTCCCCTGGAGGACCCCTGACCGTCTCACTCTAGCCACCACCCTTCCTGACCTTGAGGAGTCAACTGTTTTTCTGTGGTACAATCCCTTTTCTCTCCTCCAAACAGAAGACACTGTTAGGAGCAGAAAACAAGCCCACCAGAGTGACTCCCACTTCCCCACCCTGCAAGTGTGCAACCATGGGAGTCTTTAAATGTGGTGCCATTTAAATTTTAGGAGCCATCTCTCATCTTCAGGGCCTGCACTGATCAGCATCCATAGGCAGTAACTCAGCCTGAGCTGTGGGATGGGCTGGGAAGCTTTCTGAGACTCTCCAGTTACCTCTTGCCAGGCCCTCTGGGCCCCTGCCACCTCCCTGTGGTGCTCCCAGGGAACCCTCTAACCACTCGACCCTCCCCAGTCTACGGAACCCTCCTTCTCTCTGCCTCTCCTTTCCCCCAGCATCATCCTCTCAAGGAATTGGACCTGCGAAGCAAAAGCCAGGAAAGACAGTGTCCTCAGGAAGCTTCTGGATTTCAGGCAAAGAAGCACAGGGAGAGCGATGCACGGTGGCTCACACCTGTAATCCCAGCACTTTGGGAGGCTGAGGTGGGTAGATGACTTGAGATCAGGAATTCGAGACCAGCCTGGGCAACGAGATGAAACCCATCTCTACCAAAAATACAAAAAATTAGCCAGGCATGGTGTTGCATGTCTGTGGTCCCAGATACTAGGGAGGCCAAAGTGAGAGGATCATTTGAGCCTGGGTGACAGAGGTTAGTTAGTCGAAATATTATGCCACTGCAACCCAGCCTGGGTGATGGAGTGAGACTCTGGCTCAAAAACAAAAACAAAACAACAACAACAAAAAACAAAGCACATGGAAAGGGGCAGACAGGAAGGGAATTAATAAAGAAATGAGGAAAGTAGAGAGCTTACCATTGGGCAACCAGCAGGATCTGCTACCTGCCCAAGAACACTGCCCTCATGCAGCAGGGTGTGGGTGGAAAAACTCCAACTGCTTTTTCCTGTTCTCTCAACAGCAACAATAATCAAGACAGACATGCCGGGTGCATGGCTCATGCCTGTAATCCCAGCACTTTGGGAGGCCGAGGCAGGCGAATCACAAGGTCAGGAGTTCCAGACTAGCCTAACCAGCATGGTGAAACCCTGCATCTACTAAAAACACAAAAATTAGCTGAGCCTGGTGGTGCCCGCCTGTAATCCCAGCTACTCAAGAGGCTGAAGCAGGAAAATGGCTTGAACTCGGGAGGTAGAGGTTGCAGTGAGCTGAGATCGCACCACCGCACTCCCGCCTGGGCGACAGAGCAAGATTCTATCTCTAAATAAATAAATAAATAACAACCACAGACAGACTAATGTGACCAAATGTCGGGATTTCTCCCCATCAACAAATTAAGCAATCAATTCTTTTTTTTTTTTTTTTTTGAGATGGAGTTTCGCTCTTGTTACCCAGGCTGGAGTGCAATGGCGCGATCTCGGCTCACTGCAACCTCCACCTCCTGGGTTCAGGCAATTCTCCTGCCTCAGCCTCCAGAGTAGCTGGGATTACAGGCACACGCCACCATGCCCAGCTAATTTTTTTGTATTTTTAGTAGAGACGGGGTTTCACCGTGTTGACCAGGATGGTCTCAATCTCTTGACCTCGTGATCCACCCGCCTTGGCCTCCCAAAGTGCTGGGATTACAGGCTTGAGCCACCGCACCTGGCCAAGCAATCAATTCTATAGTGAACACTAGCTGGGTGTCTTCTAATTTAATTCTGAAGCTATCTACCTGCAGGCAGCCTTAGATCCCACAGGTTGAGGGCTCAGTCCCCAAAACTGACAACCCCTCAGACACCAGTCGCAAGTCTGGGCCTCTGGAACTTCTGACCGACTGACTTCAAGCTGGGATTCCCAAGATCCCCCTTTGGGTTTGATTGATTTGCTAAAGCAAGTCACAGAACTTGGAAACACATTTATCACTTTATTCTAAAAGGATACATGGGGGAAGGGGCGTGGAGCTTCCCTCTCTGGGCAAGCCTCCCTCCAGTAATCTCCAGATGCTCAACTACCCGGAAGCTCTTAGAACAGTATCCTTTTGGGCCTTTTATGGAGACTTCATTACATAGGCATGATTGATTAAGCCACTGGCCATCAAGTTAACCTTCAGCTCCCTCCCCTCCCCGGAGGTCAGAGAGTGGAGCTGAAAGTCCCAACCCTCTAATCCTGCCCTGGTCTTTCAGATGACCAGCCCTATCCTGAAGCTGCCTGGGGGCTGACAGCCATCAGTCAACATCAGCATACAAAAAGACACTTATCACTTCGGAGATTCCAAGGATTTCAGGCGTTGTAGGTGAGGCAGGAAATGGGGATGAAGACTAAATGTATATTTCACATTACTGCAGGCTGTGCCACTGCTGATGGAGGCAGGGGGCACCCCTTGACTTCTGTTTCCTTCCTGGTTGCGGGGATTTCTCACTCTCCTCTCCTCTCTCCCACGGGAAGGCTGGAGTTGAGTTTGCCTGGTGGATGAGTTGGAGAAAGGCGTTTGTAGAGAAGCCACATCTTGCAAATGCACAGAGATGTGAACTATCCCTGATGGACCTATGGTCCACTTTAAAGGCTATACTGCAAGAGAAGGTGGGAGTGTGGGGAGGCTGGCCTGGCCCTGAGAGGGCTGGGCCCGGGGTAGGGGCTCAGCCCAGGGTGATCCAGTCCCCAGCTGGGAGGCAGGCAGGGGGTCAAGCTAGAGGGGCCAGGAGATGGCCTCAGAAAATAATCCTATGACCTGACTTGTCACAGTTCCTGCCACTTCTCAAAGACATTCACCCCTGGAGGGGGAGGCCCCTTCCTGCTGTCCCTCCACTTGCCTCCTGTGCCTCCCTGTGCCCTCCTCAGTGTCCTCTGGGATCTGCACCTGAAGGCAGTGAGCAATTTACCCGTCAGTCTCCCCGCTAGGATGAGACAGATCCCTTGTTCCCGAGAGACCCAGCTGAACCGTTTTTGTGTCCTCACTGCCCTCAGCAGGATGAGTTTTGAAAGTAGATGCTTCATTAAATGTTTGATAAATGAACGAAAGCTTGAACAGTGACCTGAGAGATAGGGAATGTTCACTCCCATTCTGCAGAGGAAGTAGCCGAGGCCTGGAGAAGTTCTTAGTGTCAGAGCTGGAACTAGAATAGGACCCTGTGCCCTCCCCTTGGTCTCCACAGAGCTGTCCAAATGGCATACGATGTTACGATGTGGAAAAGGGATTTTTTTTTTTTTTTTTTTTTTTTTGAGACGGAGTCTCACTTTATTGCCCAGGCTAGAGTGCAGTGGTGCAGTCTCACTGCAACCTCCACCTCCCGGATTCAAGCGATTCTCCTACCTGAGCCTCCCTACTAGCTGGGATTACAGGACCCCCTACTTCGCCTGGATAATTTTTGTATTTTTAGTAGAGACAGGGGGTTCCACCATCTTGGGCAGGCTAGTCTCGAACTCCTGACCTCGTGATCCACCCGCCTCGGCCTCCCAAAGAGCTGGGATTACAGGCGTGAGCCACCGTACCCGGCCGCGGAGAGGGATCTCAAGAGACTAACATGGCTAGACAGGCAGAGTGCGCACCTTCACCCTGTCTTCAGTGCGGTGCCAGCTAGACTTGACCCCATCCTTTCTGAGGTCCTGGTATATTTCTCCCATCTGCACTGGGCCTGTGACCTTACTCAACCCCCACATCCCAGAGCAGCCGGGCCCTCCCGCTCCCCACGCACCACCGACCACTAGGTGGCGCCAATTGGTCATTCAGTCACTTCCAAGGAACCCGAAAAGTCTTTGTCTCCCAGTCTCTGGACTGGCTGACGTGGAGTGCGTGGACACTTCAGGAGGTGGGGGCTGAGTTAGTGTAGAACAGGGAAGTTTTTAAAATAATCTTCCACCAGATTATCTGTTTTGTGCTCATTAATCCTCTTGGTTGGTTTTTGTTTTTGAGATAAAGCATTGAGATGTTTTTCACAATAACCCTGGGAGGTTAGGACAATTGTCCCCATTTTATAAAAAGAGAAACCTAATTTCTTTTTCCTTCCTTTTTTTTTTTTTTTTGAGACAGAGTCATGCTCTATCACCCAGGTTGCAGTGCAGTGGCGTGATCTCAGCTCACTGCAACCTCTGCCTCACGGGTTCAAGCAATTCCCCTGCCTCAGTCTCCCGAGTAGCTGGGACTACAGCGGCTAATTTGTGTGTGTGTGTGTGTAATGACGGGGTTTCATAGTGTTAGTCAGCATGGTCTCGAACTCCTGACCTCGTGATCCACCCGCCTCGGCCTCCCAAAGTGCTGTGATTACAGGCGTGAGCCACTGCGCCCAGCCAATTTTTGTATTTTTAATGGAGGTGGGGTTTCAGCATGTTGGCCAGGCTGGTCTCGAACTCCTGGCCTCAAGTGATCCGCCCGTCTTGGCCTCCCGGAGTACTGGAATTACAGGCACAAGCCACTGCACCTGGCTGAGAAACCTAATTTCTGAGAGGTTAGGTGACTTGGCCATGGCCACACAGCAAGCTGTGCCTGGAACTCAAGTCCCAGATACAGGGTCCTGGGTTTTTTACAAAGTCAGCAGACAACCCTGAAGCCAGATTCCTACATTTAAACACTGGCTTCCCGACTGTGTGACTTTGGTTATTCTGCTTAAATTTGAGCTCTGGTTTCATCGTTAGTGAAATGGGGATTACAGCCGATCAACCGTGGATGGAGTTAGGAAGACTGAAGAGATGGAGTCAGGCCAAGGACGCGGCAAACCCTCAAGGTTAGTTCTTATTTATTTGCCTTGATTATTGTCACCTGAAGGGGCCACCCCCCACCCCCACCCACCACCCCCTCTTGAGTGGCCTCTGGGGAATAACAAAGAGAATTAACAGCAGCCCATTACAAATGAATGCGGTCTTTCACAAAGCCTTCCTTCCGGTGTGGGCTCCTGGAAGACCTGGGCTGAGCCCACCCACCACGGGGAAAGGGAGTATGAAATCTCCCCACTCTGCCTCTCGCACCACACCTGAGGTCTGTGTCCTGGTCAGTTAGTGCACTCGGCATAATCCCCCCTCTTCTCTCCTCTGCCCATCTTCTTATGCCAGTGACTTCGACAACTCTATGGTGAAATGTTTAGATCTAGTTCATAGAGGAAGCCAAGGCTCACAGAAGGTGGGCGGTCCTAGGTCGTACAGCTGTAAATGGCAGAGCAAGGATGTGCACCCAGGTGTCTGAGGCCTCACCTCGATGTTCAGAGCCTTAGAAAGGACCGAGCCGGCGCGGTAGCTCATGCCTATAATCCCAGCACTTTGGGAAGCCGAGGCAGGTGGATCACGAGGTCAGGCGTTTGAGACCAGCCTGGCCAACATGGTGAAACCCTGTCTCTCTCTCTTTTTTTTTTAAATAAATAAATAAAAATACTTCCCATAGACAGGGTTTCACCATGTTGGTCAGGCTGGTCTTGAACTCCTGACCTCAAGTGATCCGCCCGCCTTGGCCTCCAAAGTGCTTGGATTACAGGCGTGAGCCACGACGCCCGGCCATAAAACCCTGTCTCTACTAAAAATACAAAAAAAAAAAAAAATTAGTCGGGCATGGTGGTGGGTGCTTGTAATTCCAGCTACTCGGGAGGCTGAGGCCAGAGAATCACTTGAACCTGGGAGGCGGAAGTTGCTGTGAGCCGAGATTGTGCCACTGCACTACAGCCTGGGCAACAGTGCGAGTGAGGCTCCATCTCAAAAAAAAAAAAAATAGAAAAAGAAAAAAGGACCGTACATGGGATGCTTCCTTTCCCCAAAACTCCGCAGCCCAGACTCCATTTACTTAAGATTCCAAGAGCATCACCTGCTGGGACATAAATAACAGGGAGGGGCCCCTGAGTCCTTGGCCCTGGCAGGCCCAGATGGGAGGGGTGGGGCTTGAGAGGCTTAGAAGGCAACCCTGAATAGGGAATTGAACCCCAAGTACCTGAGGAGGCCTTGGGGGGGGCCCTGTGAATGAGACAGTCAGCCCATCTCCCACTCTTCCCCTGCAGCTCCAGCTCCCCCTTCAGCCTCAGCCTCCAGGCAGATGCCCGCCCCGGGGGCACCCCCTCACTCCCTGCCCCCGCAGGTGTTGGGTTCAGTAAGCAGAGCCCCAGCTCATCTGGGAAGGTGCAGAGTGAGGAGGGCGTCCAGTTACAAGCTGGGGCTGAGAGGACAGGCAGGGGCAGCCTGGGGGCAGGGGCCAAAGGTCTAGAAACTGATGGTGGGGGCAGGTATCAGGGGAGGTCTTAACCCCCCACCCTGCAGACCCTATCCCCTTGCCTCTCAGAAAACCTTCTCCCCACACCTGGCATCCAAAGACCTAGGCATCTCCCCGCAGGCTGGGCCTGTGCTTGGTAAACTGTGAAGGGCTGTGCACACTCCTGGGAATTGTTGGTCGTTGTTCCTTTTAGTTCCACTCCTTTCTCCCCACCACCCAGATGGCCTCCTCTCCGCCCCTCAACCGGGCCCTAGCACAGCACTCCATGCCTATTTAAGGCAAATCTCCTGATCTTTTAAATAACATTCGCTCCTTGTGGAGAAGGCCAGCCAGGCCTGAGCTCAGGGAAAGGGGAGGAGACCCAAATATCCCATGGGGTGGGTGGTGGGGGAGCCTGGATGACGGAAGCGGGTATGTACTCCCCCTCCCAAAATGAGCCTTGAAAAGGTCCATGCCCCCATCCCCCAGTCCTGCCAGTCCCTCATTGCACAGGCCCTGGATTGGCTCAAACCCCTTCAGAGGGGCTGGGGCACTCCAGGAAGGCTAGGACGTGGCAGCCCTTGCAGGGGTAGGGGGAGTGAAGGGGGGATGTACCCTTGGCTAAAGAAGGAGCATAACTAGGAAGACTGGCAAAGGCCATGGAGGGTCTGGGGTTGGATGGACATCAGACCTCACAGCCTACCCAGTGTGAAGGATGGTCCAAAACTGCTCTTTGTTAGCGCCTGAGGCTCAGAGAGGCCAAAAAACCTCCTAGGGTCACACAGCCTGTGAGTGGAAGGCTCCGAAATCCAAGCTGGCAGGCTCCACTTTCTCCCTTCTCTGCCAGGTCTACTTATGCCAGGGACTGTATGTGTCACGACACATGACATCTAGGCCCTTTTCAGGTACTAGGTATCATTTGAAGCCCTGAGCACACATGCTTCCTCTACCTGCCTCCCTCCCTTCTGCCTCCTACTCTCCAGGCCCACCAGAGCTGCTTTTCCTGAGTCTTGGGTCCCTGACTCAGGCCTGCCCCACTCCTACTTCCTTCTCTCCCTCTTCCCCTCTTCCTAGACTTTCTTTCAAGAGGCTGCCTCCCTGGCCTCCCATCTAAGCATCGCTAATCCCCCTGTGGTCCTCACATGACTGAGGTGCCCTCTCCAGGGTTCAAAAAGTTGGTCAGGGATCTTTTACAGATCAGGTTGCCTCCTCAGGACCAGGCGCTCACTCCTCAGGCATGTGAGTCCCAGCAGGCTGGCCCCACCCCGTCAGGTTGGACGGGGGCTGGGGAACCACAGTGAGGAAGAAGCCCTAGCCTGGCCTTCCTCTTCTCACTGAGAGCTGAAAAGCCATAGTGATCGGTTGATCCAGTGGCCTCATGTCACACATGAGCAAACTGTGGCCCAGGGAATGGGAAGAAAGGCCCAGGGTCCCACAGTGAAACAGAAGCTGAGCTGGGTCTGACTGGAGCCCCTGACATCCTAAGGTTGGGGCTTCATCCTGGGAAAAGAGGGTTTATTATAGGAGGAAATTCAGCCACTGTCACTGCCCCAGTGTTAGGGTGCCTGTTGTGTGGGGTGGGGGATGGAGGTGCCTGGAGGTGGGAGTATGTAGGGTGAACTTTGTGATTAATGGGGGTGTGCTTGATCTTCTCTGGGTCCTTCTAGCCTGGCTCTACCATTAACCTCTTGTGTATCGTTTGGCAAGCCCTTTTCCCCCTTCAGGCCTCAATTTCCTCCTGTAAAATGGGTTGGAGAGATCTTTGAGATCCATTCCAGCCCAGACCTAAGGTCTCTCATGCATCTCCCATCAGCCCAGCACCATCCTGCCACCTGCTTCCAGGCTCCTGCCCTGGCCGAGGCCTGTCTCATAGCATGCTGACATTGCTCCGGTGGTCTCTGGCAGCCCTCTCATTCTCTCAGATAAACTGGCCCACACATTGCCCAGGTAATCTCTCAAGGCTTGGGAATATTCTATGGCTCCCATGGTCTCCCTCAGAATAGTATCTCTCAGCCACGCACGGCGGCTCATGCCTGTGATCCCAACACTTTTGGGAGTTGGAGTCCAGCCCAGACAACATGGTGAGAACTTCTCTCTACAAAAAATCAAAAAAACATGAGTTGGATGTGGGGGCACGTGCCTGTAGTCCCAGCTACTTGGGAGGCTGAGGCAGAAGAATCGCTTGAACCGGGGAGGTGGAGGTTGCAGTCAGCTGAGAGCACACCACTGAGCTCCAGTCTGGGTGACAGAGCAAGACTTCATCTCAAAAGAAGAGAAAGAAAAAAAATTAGCCCAGTGTGGTAGCACACACCTGTGATCCCAGGTACTTGGGTGGATGAGATGGGAGGATTGCTTGAGCCCGAGAGGTCAAGGCTGTAGTGAGCCGAGATTGTGCTCCTGCACTCCAGCCTGGGTTACAGAGCAAGCCTTGTCTCAAAATAAATAAATAAATAAATAAATAAATAAATAAATAAATAGGCCGAGCGCGGTGGCTCACCCCTGTAATCCCAGCACTTTGGGAGGCCATGGCAGGTGGATCACGAGGTTAGGAGAGTGAGACCATCCTGGCTAACACGTGAGATCCCTGTCTCTACTAAAAATATGAAAAATGAGCCAGGTGTGCATGCACCTGTAGTCCCAGCTACTAGAGAGGCTGAGGCAGGAGAATCCTGAGGCTTAAACCCAGGAGGCAGAGGTTGCGGTGAGCCGAGATCGCGCCATTGCACTTTAGCCTGGGCGACAGAGCAAGAGTCCATCTAAATAAATAAATAAATAAATAAATAAATAAATAAATAAATAAATAAAGGAATGGTCCCACTCTCCTCATCACACGCATCCAGCACATCCTTCCTGCAGTCTTGGACCCTAGCTGAGTTTCCTCATCTGCCAAGCAGCAATGCCAACCCTCCCGTGGAGGGTCTGTGGTATGGACACACAGTGGAACACACCCGTGGGGCTTGGGAAATGCTGATGGCTTAACCAGCAGTCCCAGCTTCTCTGCACTGGACAGAAATCCTGCTCGTCCCACCCCACTCTCCTTCATACAAGTTGACGAGGTCCTCCAAGGCTTGGTTCAAGTCCTATTACCTTCCGGAAAGGCCAGTTCAGTTTCCCTCTGTGAATTGGAGCTGCTGCAGGGCTGGACTTCCACTTGCCTGCCTCCATCTGCAGCTCCTACCATCCTGTGGGAAGACCCAGCTACCAGGACACTTGCTGAGGAAATGCTGGGTCTGTGTGCTCACTCCCACAGCAGACAACTCCTTCTACCCCAGAGCTGTTTTTGACATGGGATTATCTTTGACTTTCAGAAACTTCCTTGCTGCCAACTCTAAAAAACCTCAAGCTGGCTAACAATGGCGGCTTACGCCTGTAATCCCAGCACTTTCAGAGGCCAAGGCAGGCAGATCACAAGGTCAAGAGATCAAGACCAGCCTGGCCAACATGGTGAAACCCATCTCTACTAAAAATACAAAAAGATTAGCTAGGCATGGTGGCACACGCCTGTAGTCCCAGCTGCTCCGGAGGCTAAGGCAGAAGAATCACTTGAACCTGGGAGGTAGTGGTTGCAGTGAGCTGAGATTGCGCCATTGCACTCCAGCCTGGGTGACAGAGCAAGACTCCGTCTCAAAAAAAAAAAAAGCTGAGTTGGGCTTCAGGGCATACACCATACACTCAGCTGGGGGTTTTAGACCCCATCTTTGTTGTGTTTTTTTTTTTGACACTGAGTCTCTGTAGCCCAGGCTGGACTGTAGTGGCGCGATCTTGGCTCATTGCAACCTCCACCTCCCAGGTTCAAGCAATTCTACTGCCTCAGCCTCCTGAGCAGCTGGGATTACAGGTACACACCACCATGCTCAGCCAATTTTTTTTTTCTATTATTTGTAGAGACAGGGTTTCACCATGTTGGGCAGGCTGGTCTCGAACTCCTGAGCTCAGGTGATCCTCCTGCTTTAACCTCCCAAAGTGCTGGGATTACAGGTGTGAGCTATCAGGCCCGGCCTAGGCTCCATCTTACCCAGTTTCAGTGATTGACCTAATGAATGTTCAGGACCAAATGACCTTCCCCAAAGGCACAGGAAGGAATGGCTGGCAGGAAAGACAAGTTGTTAGAAGATACCGCTAATGGAAGACAAGCCAGAACCTACAAGTCTGGCACCTTCCTGCTCTGGTCTGAACTGTGTTAGCCACTTACTTCAAGCCTCAGTTTTCTCATCAGTAAAATGGGAATAATGATAGCAATTTCATCCTGCATGAGTATTACATGATATATGCAAAGTGCTTAGCTTTACACATATCAGATGGATCCCCTGTCTTCAATAAGAACTGCAGCTACCATTTTTGATAGTTGGCATGATCTTGGCTCACTGCAACCTCCTCCCGCTGGGTTCAAGTGATTCTCCTACCTCAGCCTCCAAGTAGCTGGGACTGCAGGCATGTGCCACCACGCCTGGCTAAGTTTTTGTATTTTTAGTATTAAGGGGTTTCACCATGTTGGCTAGGCTGGTCTCAAACTCCTGACCGCAGCTGATCCACCCACCTCAGCCTCCCAAAATGCTGGGATTACAGATGTGAGCCACAGCACCCAGCCCATTTTATGTTAATTTATGAAGTGCCAGGCCTTGAGCTAAGCACTTTGCATATATTATTATGAAGTGACAATAATGAGCAAAAAGTTCATTGACAAGGTAGGAAGGGAGTGGGTGGAAGCAGAGAGGCGCAAAAGCATTGCTTTACTGCCAGAGGTGGGCAGGTGGTGAATAGCTAGGGTAAAATCACGTCTCAAGTATGGTACTAAGCAGTCTACATACATTATTTCATTTATTTATTTATTTTTATTATTATTATTTTTTGAGACGGAGTTTCGCCCTTGTTACCCAGGCTGGAGTGCAATGGCACGATCTCGGCTCACTGCAACCTCCGCCTCCTGGGTTCAGGCAATTCTCCTGCCTCAGCCTCCCAAGTAGCTGGGATTACAGGCACACACCACCATGCCCAGCTAATTTTTGTATTTTTAGTAGAGACGGGGTTTCACCATATTGACCAGGATGGTCCGATCTCTTGACCTCGTGATCCACCCGCCTCACCCTCCCAAAGTGCTGGGATTACAGGCGTGAGCCACCGCGCCTGGCCTATTTCATTTATTTATTTTTATTGATTTATTTATCTATTTATTTATTTATTTATTTTGAGACAGAGTCTCGCTCTGTTGCCCAGGCTGAAGTGCAGTGGCATGATCTCCACTCACTGTAACCTCCACCTCCTCAAGCGCTTCTCCTGCCTCAGCCTCCCCAGTAGCTGGGATTACAGGCATATGCCACCACACCCAGCTAATTTTGGTATTTTTAGTAGAGAAAGGGTTACACCTTTGTTCACAAGTCTCGAGCTTGTGAGCCCTCAGCCGATCCACCTGCCTGGGCTTTCCAAACTGCTGGGATTATAGGCGTGAGCCACTGCACCTGGCCCACTATTTCATTTAAATTTCAGTCTCTTCCTCTGTCAAAAGTAGAAGTTTTGAACGGAAAAGTTCCCAAGTCCTTTCTAGTTTAGTGAGTACTTACAGAATGTTTTAAATGCACAAAGTATTTTTCACTTTATAGAGCTGACCACGATGTAGTTCTGTATTCTAACAGTTATCAACCGCCACACAAGTAGATGTGGAACTAGAACAGGGGAGGATGGCTAGGTTTTCCCCAGAGCCCAGTGGCAGGCAGCTCTGAGGGGGCTGGGCAAGAGCTGAAGGCCCACAGGGACTAGGGAGGGGCATGCCCCTTGAAGGCAACCACGTCATGGAAGCTTGGCTCTGGCTGCTAGCCAGCATCCGGTTCTATCAGGTTGTGTTGGGGCCCAGAGGCCTGCGTCTGGAACTCATCAGTCCCACCTGTCAGCCCTCTCCTGGCCGGCAAGCAGAGGCCTTTAGTTATCACCAAGGAGAGTGAGGCTGAGGGTGAGCTGAACATGGCCGCAGTCCAGAGGCCCAATATCCCATCCCTGCTGGGCACCTCAGGGGAGGGAGCTGTGTTCCTCTGCCAGGCACCCCCAATTTGACTGAGCTCTGTTATGTGACAGGCACCATGAAGTATGCAAAGACCTCATTGATTCATTCAGTAAATAATTTTTTTTTTTTTTTTTGAGACAGAGTTTCACTGTTGTTACCCAGACTGGAGTGCAATGGCATGATCTCGGCTCACCGCAACCTCCGCCTCCTGGGTTCAAGCAATTCTCCTGCCTCAGCCTACTGAGTAGCTGGGATTACAGGCACGCGCCACCATGCCCAGCTAATTTTTTGGGATTACAGGCTCACGCCACCATGCCCAGCTAATTTTTTGTATTTTTAGTAGAGACAGGGTTTCACCTTGTTGACCAGGATGGTCTCGATCTCTTGACCTCGTGATCCACACGCCTCGGCCTCCCCAAGTGCTGGAATTACAGGCGTGAGCCACCGCGCCTGGCCCGAAAAAAATTTTTTTAAGGTTAGAAAAAAAAGTCCAGGGCCGGGCACGGTGGCTCAAGCCTATAATCCCAGCACTTTGGGAGGCCGAGGCAGGTGGATCACGAGGTCAAGAGATCGAGACCATCCTGGTCAACATGGTGAAACCCCGTCTCTACTAAAGATACAAAAAATTAGCTGGGCATGGTGGCGCGTGCCTGTAATCCCAGCTACTCAGGAGGCTGAGGCAGGAGAATTGCCTGAACCCAGGAGGCGGAGGTTGCGGTGAGCCGAGATCGCGCCATTGCACTCCAGCCTGGGTAACAAGAGCGAAACTCCGTCTCAAAAAAACAGAAGAACTAGAAAGGAGGAAAGTAGAACAAAGAAACAATAGTGCAAATGTCCCAGGCAGGACAACGTGGAGTGTCCGTAGAGTTGCAAGAGCACTGGAAGGTAGGCACACACTGGGCTCCTCCTCAACAAATCCCACCTGAAGAAACTCACAAATGATTGTAAGGATTTCTGCTTCCAGGCAAGATGATTTACATTCCCATCTAAAAACAACTGAAATACTCCCCAAAGTAAGTGAAACATGATTCTCAAGACACTGAAGCCCAGATGATGAAAAAGTGATCCCAGAGAGTCAGCAAATAAATGAGGAGAACCCTACAAATGCCCAGCTTTGCTGCCTAAAGAAAATTTCCAGGGCCGGGCACCATGACTCACACTTAAAATCCCAGCACTTTCAGAGGCCAAAATGGAAGGATCATTTGAGACCAGCCTGGGTAGCATAGTGAGACCCTGTCTCTGCGAAAACAAATGAAAAACAGCCAGGCATCGTGGCAAGTGCCTGAAGTCCCAGCTATTTGGGAATCTGAGGCAGGAGGATCCCTTGAGCCCAGAAGGTCAAGGCTATAGTGAGCTATGATAATGACACAGCACCCCAGCCTGGGTGACAGAGCAAGAACTTGTCTCCAAAAAATAATATTAATAATATAATTTGGTAGGGTATGGTGGTTCACACCTGTAATCCCCGCACTTTGGGAGGCCAAGGCGGGCAAATCACCTTAATTCAGGTGTTTGAGACCAGCCTGGCCAACATGGAGAAACCTCATCTCTACTAAGAATACAAAAATTAACCTGGGCACAGTGGCTCCGGCCTGTAATCCCAGCACTTTGGGAGGCTATGGTAGACGGATCACAAGCTCAGGAGTTCAAGACCAGCCTGGACAACGTGGTGAAAACCTGTCTCTATTAAAAATACAAAAAATTAGCCTGGCATGGTGGCAGGTGCCTATAATCCCAGGTACCTGGGAGGCTGAGGCAGGAGACTTGCTTGAGCCTGGGAGGTGGAGGTTGCAGTGAGCTGAGACCGCTCCACAGCACTCCAGCCTGAGCAACAAAGCAAGACTCCATCTCAAAAAAAAAAAAAAAAAAAAAAAAATTACCCGAGCATAGCGGCAGGTCCCTGTAATCCCAGCAATTTGGGAGGCTGAGGCAGGAGAATCTCTTGAACCTGGGAGGCAGAGGTTGCAATGAACTGAGACCATGCCATTGCACTCCAGCCTGGGCAGCAAGAGTGAAACTCTGTTTCAAAACAAAAAAATAAACAATTATATATGTGTGTGTGTGTGTGTGTGTGTGTATATATATATATATATATTTTTTTTTTTTTTTTTTAACTTTCAGAGCGACTGGGTGCAGTGGCTCATTTTGGGAGACCATGACAGGTGGATCACTTGAGGTCAGAAATTCAAGACCAGCCTGAACAACGTGGGGTAGGTAACTCCATCTCTACTAAAATTAAAAAAATTAGCTGTTCATGGTATCTGTAATTACAGCTACTTGGGAGACTGAGTCAGGAGACTCACTTGAATTTAGGAGGCAGAGATTGTAGTGAGCCAAGATCATGCCACTGCACGCCAGCCTGGGCGACAGAGTGAAACCCTGTCTCAAAAAAAAAAAAGTTTTCAGACCAGATCACAGGGAGGGGAAGCCAGGTGGAGTCCAGCAGTATCTGTACGTCAAAAGCTGAAGCTGGGCCGGGCATGGTGTGACGTGCCTATAGTTCCAGCTACTTAGGAGGCTGAGGTGGGAGGATCGCTTGAGCCCAGGAGTTCTGGGCTGTAGTGTGCTGTGCCAATAGGGTGTCTGCACTAAGTTCGGCATCAGTATGGTGATCTCCCGGGAGTGGGGGCCACCAGGTTGCCTAAGGAGGGGTGAACCGGCCCAGGTCAGAAATAGAACAGGCTAAAACTCCCATGCTGATCAGCAGTGGGATTGCGCCTGTCAATAGCCACTGCACTCCAGCCTGGGCAACATAGCGAGACCCTGTCTCAAGAAAGAAGAGAAAGAGAGAGAGGGGAAAGAAAGGCAAGAAGTCAGGAAGGAGAGAAGCTGGGAGTCCAGGGAGCACAGGTGGCTGGAGTTCTCAAGGCAGAGAACCAGAAAGGAGAGAGCTTCACACAGACAGAACTCTGGAGCTCTGCAGATGGTAACTCCAGTAATTCAGCCCAGTGCATCCATGAGGAAACTACCAGAGAGTAGAGTAAGAACCACCCACATGATTAGAACAATGCTTGGAGCTCACACAGGGCTGGAAATAGTGCTGGTTCCTACCGAGGAATGGAAACTTCACAATTAATAGGGCATTGAGAAGAGCACTCAAGAGTTTTTGGCTCAACAGTGAGTGAAAACTAAACACTGCCCTGGCGCCATCTAAGAAAAGCAAAATCTAAGCTGGGCGCGGTGGCTCAAGCCTGTAATCCCAGCACTTTGGGAGGCCGAGGCGGGTGGATCACGAGGTCAAGAGATCAAGACCATCCTGGTCAACATGGTGAAACCCCGTCTCTACTAAAAATACAAGAAATTAGCTGGACATGGTGGCGCATGCCTATAATCCCAGCTACTCAGGAGGCTGAGGCAGGAGAATTGCCTGAACCCAGGAGGCGGAGGTTGTGGTGAGCCAAGATCGCACCATTGCATTCCAGCCTGGGTAACAAGATCGAAACTCTGCCTCAAAAAAAAAAAAGAAAAGCAAAATCTAATGAAACAAACTGTTTCCAAGTAACTTCTGCCTCCCAGAACAAAGCTCAAAAATGTGTATATAAGAGGCCAGGCACAGTGTCTCACTCCTGTAATCCCAGTACTTTGGGAGGCCAAGGAGGGTAGATCACTTGAGGTTGGGAGTTTGAGGCCAGCCTGACCAACATGGAGAAACACTATCTCTACTAAAAATAGAAAATTATACCCAGACACCAGGTCAAAAAACGAACAAACAAAAAAATACAAAATTAGCCGGGTGCAGTGGCTCACGCCTGTAATCCCAGCACTTTGGGAGGCCGAGGCGGGTGGATCACGAGGTCAAGAGATCAAGACCATCCTGGTCAACATGGTGAAACCCCATCTCTACTAAAACTACAAGAAATTAGCTGGGCATGGTGGCGCGTGCCTGTAATCCCAGCTACTCAGGAGGCTGAGGCAGTAGAATTGCCTGAACCCAGGGGGTGGAGGTTGCGGTGAGCCGAGATTGCGCCATTGCACTCCAGCCTGGGTAACAAGAGCGAAACCCTGTCTCAAAAAAAAAAAAATTTTTTTTTTTAATGAGCTAGGCATGGTGGTACATACCTGTAGTTCCATCTACTTGGGAGGCTGAGGCAGGAAGGATCGATTAATCCCAGGAATTCGAGCTGCAGTGAGCCATGATCTCACCATTTCACTTCAGCATGGGCAACAGCCTATCTCAAACAACAACAACAAAACACTAGCAAATCAAATCCAGCAGCATATTCAAAAAATTATACCATGACCAAGTGAGATTTATCCCAGGAATGCAACGTTGGTTTAACATCCAAATATCAATCAATGTAACACACTTTACTAATAGAATAAAAAGGAAAAAAATTTTTAATATCATTCATTATGGCCAACAGAGAAATTAAAGCGTATTTTAAGACGTATTGAGGCTGGGCGCGGAGGCTCACGCCTATAATCCCAGCACTTTGGGAGGCCGAGACGGGGGGGATCACGAGGTCAAGAGAGCGAGAGCATCCTGGTCAACAAGGTGAAACCCTATCTCTACTAAAAATACAAAAATTAGCTGGGCATGATGGCACGTGCCTGTAGTCCCAGCTACTCAGGAGGCTGAGGCAGGAGAATTGCCTGAACCCAGGAGGCGGAGGTTGCAGTGAGCCGAGATCGTGCCATTGCACTCCAGCCTGGGTAACAAGAGCGAAACTCCATCTCAAAAAAAAAAAAGACGTATTGGTCAGGTGAGGTGGCTCACGCCTGTAATCCCAGCACTCTGGGAGGCTGAGGCAAGTGGATCACCTGAGGCAAGGAGTTTGAGATCAGCCTGACCAACATGACAAAACCCCATCTCTACTAAAAATACAAAAACTAATTGGGCATGGTGGTGTGTGACTGTAGTCCCATCTACCTAGGAGACTGAGGCAGGAGAATTGCTGGAACCCAGGGGTCAGTGGCTGCAGTGAGAGGAGACTGTGCCCCTGCACTTCAGCCAGGGCAACAGAGCAAGGCTCTGTCTCAAAAAAAAAAAAAAAAAAAAGGGCCGGGCGCAATGGCTGTTACATCTGTAATCCCAGCACTTTGGGAGGCTGAGGCAGGCAAATCACAAGGTCAGGAGTTTGAGACCCGCCTGGCCAACGTGGTGAAACCCCATCTCTACTTAAAATACACACACACAAAAATTAGCAGGCTGTGGTGGCATTCGCCTGTAATCCCAGCTACTCAGGAGGCTCAGGCAGGAGAATCACTTGAACCTGGGAGGTGAAATTTGTAGTGAGCTGAGATCACACCACTGCACTCCAGACTGGGCAATGAGTAAAATTCCATCTAAAAAAAAAAAAGAAAGTGAAAAAAGAGAATGAAGAGAAGAGAAGAAAAGAGAAAAAAGAGAAGGCGAGGCATGGGGACTCATGCCTGTAATCCTAAGACTTTGGGAGGCTGAGGCAGGCGGATCACCTGAGGTCGGGAGTCGAGACCACCCTGAGGAACAATGGAGAAACCCCATCTTTACTAAAATACAAAATTAGGCTGGGCACCATGGCTCAGGCTTGTAATCCCAGCACTTTGGGCGGCCGAGGCCGGTGGATCACGAGGTCAGGAATTTGAGACCAGCCTGGCCAATATGGTAAAAGCCCTTCTCTACTAAAACTACAAAAATTAGCTGGGGGCTGTGGTGGGCGCCTGTATTCCCAGCTGCTCGGGAGTCTGAGGCAGGAGAGTTGCTTGAACCCAGGAGGCAGAGGTTCCAGAGAGCCAAGATCGTGCCACTGCACACCAGCCTGGGGGACAGAGCAAGACTCCGTCTCAAAAAAAAAAAAATTGGCTGGGCGTGGTGGCACATGCCTGTAATTTCAGCTACTCAGGAGGCTGAGGAAGGAGAATCGCTTGCACTCCAGCCTGGGTAACAAGAGTGAAACTCCATCTCAAAAAAAAATAAATAAATAAAATAAAAGTTTTTTTAGGCCAGGCACGGTGGCTCAAGCCTATAATCCCAGCACTTTGGGAGGCCGAGGTGGGTGGATCATGAGGTCAAGAGTTCGAGACCATCCTGGTCAACATGGTGAAACCCCGTATCTACTAAAAATACAAAAAATTGGCTGGGCACGGTGGCACGTGCCTGTAATCCCAGCTACTCAGGAGGCTGAGGCAGGAGAATTGTCTGAACCCAGGAGGCGGAGGTTGCGGTGAGTCGAGTGCCATTGCACTCCAGCCTGGGTAACAAGAGTGAAACTCCGTCTCAAAAAAAAACAAAGTTTTTTAAAAAGGCCAGGTGTGGTGGCTCACACCTGTAACCCCAGCACCTTGGGAGGCCGAGGCAGGCAAATCACGTGAGGTCAGGAGTTAGAGAGCAGCCTAACATGATGAAACCCTGTCTCTACTAAAAATACAGAATTCTCTGGTCATGGTGGTGTGTGCCTGTAATCCCAGCTACTCAGGAGGCTGAGGCAGAACTATTGCTTGAACCCAGGAGGTGGAGGTTGTGGGGAGCCAAGATGGTGCCATTGCACTCCAGCCTGGGCAACAAGAGCGAAATTCCATCTAAAAAAAAAAAATTTTTTTTAAACCCCCACAATTCAATTTACAATAACATCAAAAAGAATAAAACACTTAGGAATAAATTTAGTAAGAGAACTGTAAAATTGGCTGGGCATGGTGGCTCACGCCTGTTATCCAAGCACTTTGGAGGCCAAGGCGGGTGGATCACCTGAGGTCGGGAGTTCAAGACCAGCCTGAAAAAAAAAAAGGGAGAACTGTAAAATTTATACACTGAAAACAATATTGAAAGCAATTTTTCTGTTTTTTGAGATGGAGTCTCACTCTGTCGCCAGGTTGGAGTGCAGTGGTACGATCTCAGCTCACTGCAATCTCCGCCTCCCGGCTTCAAGCAATTCTGCCTCAGCCTCCTGAGTAGCTGGGATTACAGGCACGTGACACCATGCCTGGCTAATTTTTGTATTTTTAGTAGAGACAGGGTTTCACCACGTTGGTCAGGCTGCTCTGAAACTCCTGACCTCATGATTGACTCGCCTCGTTCTCCCAAAGTGCTGGGATTACAGGTATGAGCTACCACACCTGGCCTTTTTGTGACTCTTGATGGGGGCAGCAGGTGTATATAAGGTTCAGGTGTGCAGCAGTGGGAGATCAGTGGGGGAAGAAATCACCTCTAGTGAGGCAGTCTGGAAAGGCTTCTTGAAAAAGTACTTTTTGTGTCTTGCCTGTGAGGAAAGTTATGTCCTGTATTTACGTGGCCTGTAAAGGTTAGTAAATGCTTTTCATCCCCTCAACTTCTCTGTAATTAACATTATGATAACCTCCTTAACACTCGTGGGAAACTGCAGACTATAGGCGCCGAATGACTTGACCACGTTCATGCACCGTGGCAGGGCAAGATGTGGACTCTGAGCCCTGACTCGTTTCCTATCCAAGTCTGACACCAAGAGTCATTGGTGAGTGTTGAGCAAGATGGGAAGGAAAGGGAAGGAGCTGAGGTGGCATCTCTGGGTCCCTCTGCATTCCATGTTCCCCAGAAGATGCCCACTCTCTAGCCTGGCTCCAGATACCCAGAGACCACCTGTGAGCTGTGCCGTAGACCTCTCTCCTGACCTCTAGTCCTGCAGATCCATCAGCTAGCAGGATCTCAGACTCAAACTGTGGACTTACCAGAGTCCTGCAGAATGTCGAGGAAACCTCAGGTCCCACCTCAACAACTCAAAGACAAGAACATTAACCATAACAATCATGTATATGGGGTGGGTGTGGTGGCTCACGCCTTTTGGGAGCCACCACAATCTCAGCTCACTGCAACCTCTGCCTCCCAGGTTCACGTAATCCCAGCCCTTTGGGAAGCCGAGGTGGGCAGATCACCTGAGGCCAGGAGTTCCAGACCAGCCTGGCCAACATGGGGAAACCCTGTCTCTACAAAAATACAAAAGTTAGCTGGGTGTGATGTCAGGTGCCTGTAGTCCTAGCTACTCGGGAGGCTGAGGCAGGAGAATCGCTTGAACCCAGGAGGCGGAAGTTGCAGTAAACCGAGATTACACCACTGCACTCCAGCCTGGGCAACAGAGCAAGACTCTTGTCTCAAAATCAATCAATCATGTATATGGTTACTCTTCACACTTCACACACTGTAAGGTATAGATAATATTACAGCCCCACTTTACAATTTGGAAAACTGAGGCTCGGATGTTTACTTATTGTCCAAATCACATAGCTGGTTTTTTTGTTTTTTGTTTTTTTCCCGAGACAGAGTCTCACTCTGTTGCCCAGGATGGAGTGCAGTGGCACAATCTCAGCTCACTGCAACCTCTGCCTCCCAGGTTCAAGTAATTCTCCTGCCTCAGCCTCCCGAGTAGCTGGGACTACAGGCCTGTACCACCACACCTGGCTAATTTTTTTTTTTTTTTAAAGACAGAGTCTCACTCTATCGCTAGACTGGAGTGCAGTGGCTCAATCCCGGCTCACTGCAACTTCCGTTTTCTGGCTTCAAGCAATTCTCCTGCCTCAGCCTCCCAAGTAGCTGGGACTATAGGCATGCACCCCCATGCCTGGCTAATTTTTTTTTTTTTTTTGTATTTTTAGTAGAGATGGTGTTTCACTGTGTTAGCCAGGATGGTCTTGATCTCCTGACCTTGTGATCCACCCTCCTCAGCCACCCAAAGTGCTGGGATTACAGACTGAGCCACTGCACCCAGCCTGTTTTATTTTGTTTTTAAGAGACCGTATTTCTCTGTTGCCT